GTAGAGTCTAGTTCTTTTTCCAAAGAGCTTGCACTCATTTTTATTTTTCCTGTAAGCACTTTGCATTTTTTGGAAGGCTGAATGGTTTCTGCATGTGAATCGAAATTTTACTTTGAATAACATTTTGCCGTCTATAAACTTGGCCTCAGGCTCTGTGCGTACTACACACTTGTCCATATATTTTCTTAAATTGTGTGGACAGTCGGTAAAGGCTTCAGATCTGCACCTTTTTACCAGTGCCGAAGAGTCATCCTAATATTCCCTCAGACATGCTGTAGCTGTCACATTTGTTTTTTAAAATAATGCCAACATTTATTTTTTTATATATTTTTTTTCTCTAGCAGACACAGAGTTGGCCGTTATACAAGACAAGTTCTCATAAATTGCATTTTTTGTCGTTTTGTTATTTATTTATTATTAAATAATCTTTTATTAAATTTCTGATAACTATTCCATGCAGTGTTCAATGTCAGTATGTCAGACTTTAATAAAGCAATATATAATGTATAGACGACAAGCTTACATTTCTAAATATGTTCTGAGCCTCTTTCATAGTGTATATAAATTATGTCTACAAAGCTATTTTACATTTTCTTCTTGTGATGAAAGATCTCTTTCTGAGTGGTAATGGTTAGTGCAATCTTTAACCTTTAGTTCAGCTCAGATTTTATCCCTTTCCCACATTTGTTAATTTATATTGAACATTAATCCTGCAATCTTTTACTTGTGTGTCTTTGTGTTACTTGTCCCATTGTCACTGTTTGATTGCAGTGTCCCTCTGCGGGGAGCTATGTATGGTGTAACACAGCACAACCTATGTGATTTAAAGAAATTGCACTTTTTATCAATGATTTTTTGTTTATACAGAGGCTTTTTTTATTCATTATGTAAAGTTTTTTTTAAAAAGATGCCTTTGCTCATCTTCCTATAGTGACAGGATTTTTAACCAGGAAGCGGCTGAGATATTTCAGCGAATCCTTGTTCCCTCATTTATTCCTAGCGCTGCATGTCTGCGTTTCAAGCTGGTTTCCCCTGTAATCCTACTGGTTGTATTATTAGATGCCATTTAAATCGAGTTGGCGGAATAGGTTTTTAGACATCCAGGGGTCAATGGCAGCCGCTGAGTAAAATGTTTGTGTTGTCACCAGAGTGCAATTTTAGACCGTGTTCACTGCCATAGTGTTTCAGAAAGCACAGCTAATCAGAGACCACACAGCGTGTGTTAAAATATGAGGTTGTGATTACAGCCATTTAATTAAAAAAAAATTATTTTTTAGTTGATGGCTTTTTATTTATTTTACTGCACAAATCTGATTTTACACTATTGTCTGATCTGCTGGTGCATTGCTGCCAAAAAGGAAGCTCACAATTTCTGGAATTCTTCCTAGAAATAATATATTATTTCAGTGCATCTCCTGGCTTTCACCCTACATCTTTTACTGTTTGGTCGATTGCAAAATCTTATCCTACCAAATTTGCAATTTGATATTCTCAAACTTTCTCAAAGTGGCCTAATGGCATGGCCAGTGTCTGCATACTAATCCTGTTACCTGCTTGGTTAGACGGGAGATGTTTTAGACTAAAGAGAGTGTAAAGGGACACTTCAGTTTATTGAAGTGGTTAGGGTGCCAGGATTCCGCACCCGCTCCCTGTTGGGTGATAGACTTGTCAAATGTACAGAATAGGAAATGGAAGAAGATCCCCTAGTGCCCCCACATGCCCCGTCAGTCACAGAGCTAGGAATTACACTGTTGGCCTTAACCTACAGGACCTTGCAGGCATTACTCCTCGGGGAACGAGCTTGCTGACAGTGAAGGTCCTTTCTACCTTCTTAAAGCAAGTCCCTTAAAACCTGCTAACAGGGAGATGCAACTCTCGACTCTTTGACAGGGCTTGAAAACGAATATATAGACAATCCGTTAAAACCTTATTTTGTCAGTTTGACAAATCTGCTAGACGTATGTGTGCAGCGTGGTACACTGGCACCATAACCACTTCCTTTAATGGTGGAAGCTGACATGAGAAGCAGTGAAAATAGGGATTTAATGATATTGTGTATGCAATACAAAATGACAATCTGGGCATATAGTAAGAAAATTATAACTCAAGACCACAAGACCGTTATTCTTTAACCCTTTAAGGACGAAACTTCTGGAATAAAAGGGAATCCTAACATTTCACACATGTCGTGTCCTTAAGGGGTTAAAGGAAACCTGTCTGCACCAGTCGTGTTATTTCAAGCACTGCCTTTTAATTTGATTCTTGGTCAGGAGCAGCGTTAACCCACCTGCACATTGCAGTGACATCAGACCATCATCGAGCTTGGTTGGGGGGGGGGTTAATCAATAAACTCATAATGTACTCATAGTTGAACATATCTTCTCTGTCCGATTATATCGCCCTCTTTGGAGAAAATTATTATAAATTCAATAGACATTGTGACAGTGCAATAATGCACTAAAACAATCAATATCACAGAATTAAAAAATCCAGTTTGGCTATTTACTAAAAGTAAATGCAATTTTGAATTTGTTCTGCTGTTACATAAACCAAACATTCTAATTCATTCGTTAGAAGACAGGTTTCCTCTTCCAAGTTTAGCATGTATTGAATAGAAAACTGTTTGTATTTTATGTGTTTTGTTTGGGATCTTCAGACACTGTTTCCACTAACACGTTCCATAGAATTCCAGCACAAAAGCAATCATTTTATTTTTATTCATTTATTTATTTTTACTTAAGAGTAAAAATAAATCTTATTTTAATTTGGATGCAGCTGTCACCACGGTTGAAAACCTGCAACATGTCCTTAAGGTGACAGAAAACGTTAAGGAAATCTATTTTGACCTTCTCATGTTGAAAAACAAACTAGAGCCTTAATTCCTTTGTATTGTTGCTGGGTGATGGTTGCCTGGTGCCCAGCGGTCCGAAGCCCTCTAGATCCGACAAGGTCTCTTTGTCCAATTCTCTGAATTGTTTCTAGCCTGGTCCTCATTAAATCATAAGGAGCAGAGCTATGGGCTGCCTCAGAATCCTACTAAGTGGTTTCCTTCTGCACTAGCGCAATCTATGACAGAGTTAAAGATTACAGTTTTTTAATTTCTGAAAGTAAAATCTAAACGGGCTTAAATTGTTCTGTGTAAGGATGTCTTTATAAAGGAAACCTCACTGCCTTCCAGCCCTTTGTGAGAAAGGAGTTTAGCATCTTCTGAGTCCTTTGTAAAGAGCTGTGTTCTATAACTGACAAATAGAATGGGGAATAATACTGATGGTCTGCTGACAACTGTTTGTCTACAGGACAAAAAAAGTCACTCAAAAATAGTTTGGTTTTTTTCCCTTTCCTTCCTTCCTTCCTTCCCCGTCTTTTTATTTAGCAATCCACAAATAAATGTATAAATAAAAGATAAATGTTGGATGGAGCGCTAGTTTACATTTTTACACCTTGGAGAACCAGACGTGAGGACCAATTATTCATTAATACATTCCACGTGTACTAAATAACACATTGTAAGATGTAGATCTACATATAGAGTGTCAAGTTAGCTTTAGAAAAGGGACCAGCCTTGTTTTAAAAAATAAATTGCTCAATGCTTAACATGAACAAATGGATTGCCCAGTGTGACGTTGTTAAATGAAGACTTCAATAGAAGTATTCCGTTTTGTCATTCTAGACCTGATACTGGGTATTCTAACGTGTCTTCAGGAACTCTGCAAGAGTTGGTACATGCAGGATATACCCCAATAATTGTGCCTGGCAGGGTTATTTTCTGAAATGTGCATTATGGTGAATTCAAAATGCATTTCCTATTTTAGGTAAAATAGAGAGTCTTCAAGTCAGCCATATTTTTGGTTTGGCTATTTTAGCCCAGAGCACATTATGAAATGGGGGCAACACATGGCCCCGTTACCCCCTATGTTTTTAACACACACTTGGGATTTTTAAAGACTGAATTGTTAAGTCTGTTCGAGAGACCAGAAGATTAGATCATAATAAAATGCTTTCAGTTGTTAATTTCGATAAACATTCTGCATTAATATTTCTAATGATTCCCCGTGAAGATTAGTGTTCAGTGTGTGTTCTGGTAGTTTGTGTTGCCTGGAGACTTGTTGACTTGCTTGTATATGTTCGAAGCTGACTTTCTGTACCCAGTGTCAAATAAACTCCCATTCATCTAATCCCTCTGGTATTTCTATGTAGGAGTAATGCCGCTGCACTTGAGGAAGGGCAGGCTGTGTAGCATTATTTAATAAGTCCTCCAGGAACTTTGGTCTCTGTGTATTTTTTCTCTTCGTTCTTATGAATAGAGGGGGATGTATTTTATTGGCTGCAGAATGACTTTGTCCATATTTCATTTATTATTGTGGGGAAAAAATATATTTTTGCAAATGTTTTTAGAATTTTAACCCCAAGGCTTCCTGGTTGACACTCGTTATCAAGGTTAATCCTTCATGCATGTCCAGTGATGAAAAAATGTCTACTGCACAGATTATTTGAACTGATAAGTTAAAAAATACGTCCTGCGAGAATGTCAAATTAGTCTGTAAACTTACAGGACTTGCTGTTTCTGTTTGCATCTGCTTTAAATCCATTTTGCAGAAAGTCTAATAATCTTGCTTGAAAAGTGAAAGCTAAATTGCGATTCTTTGACATTCACAGTTAGAAGTTAAAGGGATTTTCCAGTGCATCTTCTAGATTAGAATAATATTGGCTTGTTAAAACTGCACAAACCTAAATTGTATTGTAGCATCTTCTCCTAATCTTCCTCTTCAAAAAAACGAGACAGACTAGCACTCGTAATGATTGTTTCATTCGTGCATGGATAGGACGTTCTCAAGCAGTCCCTGTTGTGTAGATTTCCTTTTTTCCTTCTTTTAGTTTTTTGTTTTCGAAATAAAAAGCCACTTTAATTTTAAGTCATGTGAAAAGTGCATCATTTTAAAGATGCCAGGTGTCGTTGATAACATTTGGTAGGAGACATGTCTGCCAGATTGCTGACGTTCTTTCTGTTTATTCTCTCGTAGGTTGTCCTTTCAAGCTTTGCCGCACTGACTCTTACCTGCACTGAACGCTGTCTTATCTGCAGTCACTGCCACTGATGGACGGGAACATGACTCAAGTTCAGAATACGCCTGCCACCCTCTCAGGAAACCAGATCCCGAACAAGAATCAGCCTTCTCTCTCACAACCTCTGAGTGTCCCTTCAACTGCCACTCCGCTGCCCTCTGAAAACGCAGGTCGGCCTCTTCAAAATTCTGCTTTACCCCCATCATCGGTTACATCAATTAGCGCAGCTACAGGTTTGTATCAGAGTTTTAGACTCCCGATGTTCTGTTCTGGTGATCTGCAAACCCACAGATCATTATTCCCACTTTCTATGCACAATATTTATTATATTGATAGTAATCCAGTAAGCGTTTTAAGGGGGTTACGTAGGAGAGTTGGTGTATCGAACACTGGCATGGTACACCCTAACTAAATCTAGTCTATATGTGTACTATATATCCATTTATTTATTATACCTGATGGTATTATATAGTGTCTTGTGCTGGTCGTTTTATAGGACCACTCCGGGCACCATAATAACTTAATTTAAAGGAAGTTATCGTGCCATAAGATTCCTGCACCGGCTTACCTTTTAAGGATTAAACTGTTTAACCCCACAGTCCAGTCCAGCCCCCTGTCATTCCACTGCTCAGACCCTTGTGCTTCGGCCAGGGGCACATCTGATAGGCTGAGAGCATCAGCTGAAGCTATAAGGCAATTAGTAGCTCCCCGTTCACAAAACAGCAGGAGAGAAATGCATTGGTGAATGCGCAGCATTTGATGGGCTTAGAGTCTCAGCTAAAATTCCAAGCAAAAAAGCTGTGCCCCTGGCCGAGGCTTCCTTTTTTAAGGGTCTGGGCAATGGAAGGACAAGGCTAGAACAATTGGGGGGATGGATACTGGACTTTGTGGTTAAACTATTCGTGAACAGTTTAATTGTTTAAAGGTAACTGGCGCGGCAGACCTTGTGGCACCATAACTCCATTCCAATGAAGTTATTATAGTGCCAAGAGTGCCACTTAAAGCGAGGGAACTATAATTGTATTGGTTTCTAACAGGTTGCCATATCCTCTTTCTTTCAGTTTCTTCTAACATGGCAAACCCCAAAGAGAAAACTCCGATGTGTCTTGTGAATGAGTTAGCACGTTTCAATAAAGTCCAACCCGAATATAAACTACTGAGTGAGCAGGGCCCCGCTCATTCAAAGGTAATCCCCACACTAAGTTTATTGTGGGTGGGCTGGGAAGGGGACTGTAAGGTGTCTCTATGGTCACCATCATTTTAACCTTCTATATGTTGCATTATGCCGTTCTCAGTCTTTGAAAGATCTATTTACTTTGTACTGAAGTGTAGGAGCGGCCGGGACGAGTCCTGCATAGCAGTTCCTGCAGCAATCATGGTGCTTGTATGTTCTGACTTAAATATAACCTTGTAACGGCATGTTTACACCCTCAGAGACAGACTAATGCTTATCTGAGGGAATAAGTCTCTCTTGCTTTACTCTGGGTTCACGAATGAGCGTAGGATGGCTAGAGTGGGAATTTATTTCGCAGTTATAATTTCTTTCGTGGCTGTGAGCGTGTAATAAGCTCTTGTGATGCTAGCGACTGGAAGATTGTTAAATAGTCTCAATCAGTGGTTCATGTTTATTTTAATCATTTCTCCATGTTATAACAGTTTCCCTTAGCTTAAAAATCTCTTTTCAGGGTGGAATCCTTTTTAATTTTTTTTGTGTGTGTGTCTGTCTGTCTCGTATTCTAGGAACTGACCTAACAAAGAAGTTTACATTTAATTTCTGAATTCTTGTGATGGAATTTTTTTTTAAAAAGAACCATTTGTACACAGAGAATAAATCCAGAGACTGAAACCAGTGTCTGCACATTCTCATTTCTAGTAACAGGGTCCACAGCCATACAAACGGGTTGTTTGTGTACTGGGCAGGGATAGACAGATTATCGTTTCCGCCAATTATTAGAGCCGATATTCATTCTGTATCGGTAATTTATTGATATCTTGCTCACCTCTCTTAAGTCACCGCACGCCACCTAATCCATGCGGAAACTGTAGCTGCCATCAAATGAGGCGCCACGTCACAACCTCACATCACTGTGAGTCCCAACATACTGAGCTCAGCTGAAGGCAGGGTGAGACATTGAAAATTCTGCTGTGCTGTCTGCGCTTACATTCCTATCCATAACAGCCGTTGTACATTCTAGCTTCTCACTGATCCAAACATGTACTGGCTGCCTGAGATTTATAGGAGTTTGTTTAGTTAATGCCATTGTGTTGCTTTTTCAAAACTTTAAATTTTTGGTTATCAGCAATCTCCCCTGAAGGTTACATTTAATCTGTATCAGCATCAGCTCCACAAAATTAGCGGTCGAGTACTGGAATCTACACAATAAGGCGTGGATGACCCAATCAGCCATTGTGCTGCACTGGGATATATTGTTATTGAGAAAAAGAAACAATATGTGACAGAAAAGCAACAGTGTGTTAAACCTACACCTCTATATATAACTGTACACAATTAATGACTTATGTAAGAGTGTAACCGATTCCTCTCGGGATGTTGTAGAATAGAATGTATATATAAATGGCAGAGGAGTATAGCTGATATCCTACAGAAAAAAACACAATGCAATAGTGTAATGCTGTAAATGAACAATAAAACTGTGCCAATAAAGTTAAAATCATAAGATCGCCTTAGGGTGCCTCCCCTTAGATGATTGGGGGGTATATCCAGAACTCCATCCTAGCTGGTTAGTGGTGTCACCACAATGTGGAAGTCCGGACTCCGGAAATGGTAAAAATAATCTGCCTTTTATCATAAGTATAAAATGTAAAAAACAAATATGGTCCAACATCCTCAGGGACGCAATAATAAAAACAAATTGTAAATATAAAATATCCTAAATAAAGGGACAAAATAGCAGCACAGCCTCCCCAGTCCTTCCTTATATGTGGCTGTCATTTCTTCCTATTGGTGGTCCAGGGGGTGTTGTCCACACTGTCCAGCTGTTTCCTCAGTTGATTTCCATCACCCGGAAGCGACATAGCTGAAGTGACGTCATACGGATCTGACACCCGCGAAAATCAACTGAGGAATCCTCTGAAACAGCTGGACAGTGTGGACAACACCCCCCTGGACCACCAATAGGAAGAAATGACAGCCACATATAAGGAAGGACTGGGGGGGCTGTGCTGCTATTTTGTCCCTTTATTTAGGATATTTTATATTTACAATTTGTTTTTATTATTGGGTCCCTAAGGATGTTGGACCATATTTGTTTTTTACCTTTTATACTTATGAAATAAAGCAGATTATTTTTTTACCATTTCCTGAGTCCGGACTTCCACATTGTGGTGACTCCACCAACCAGCTGGGAGGGAGTTCTAAGCATCTAAGGGGAGGCACCCTAAGGCAATCTCATTATCTACATCTTGTGACTTTAACTTTATTGGCACAGTTTTATTGTTCATTTACAGCATTACACTACTGTATTGTTTTTTTGTTTCTGTAGACTATCAGCTATACTCCTCTGCCATTTATATATACATTATATGGAGAAAAAGAACAACATTCCTGAATGTAATCTGTATGGGGATACATCTCATATTATGATAGTTGTTCCTGAATATAGTGACGGGAGGATTTGGAGGCGCTGCCACAATCTCTGGATGACCTGAAAATCCAGTCGTTCTTTGCAGAAGTTTTTTGCAGCGAGTACAGGATATTATCGTTTGTGTTTGTTCATAACAAACATCGAGCTGTATATAACAGTAACTCACTGTTGATATAGACTCCTTCAGGGTGCAGTAAACTGTTTTAAAATTAGCTGAAGTAATTTGCCATACTTCTAATTCTAGGCATTATAGGTTCTGCCAAGTGACACCTCCCATCATAGTGTGCTGACATCTGTGCTCTGACTGGCAGTGGGTTATGGGAGCTGTAGTAGCTATGGTGCAGTGACAAATTATGGTGCATTCTGTTATGGCTAGTGGTAGCTTGCTCAGTGATTTTAGGGATTTGACAGAACATTGTGAAAGTGAGCTAGATCTCTGGATTAATTGGATATGTTAATTTATATGTACATTATCTGGACAGCAATTCTTTAAAAGGCAAGGCTATGTGTGTTTGTTTTTGCAAGTTTCATTCCTCATTATTGGCTAATTTCTGCTAGGCCGTCTGAAATCTCAGATCATACATCGCAATAATTGACAAACTGCTGCTGATTGATAAAAACCAGCACAGCACTTTGTGTTCTAGTAAACTCCCAGGGCCATGGTGGCATGATTTGTGTTATGAGAATTCACAACGATAGCCGATAATAGTGTTGCATTCAGTGATGCCCAAAATCTACCCTTGGGCTGAAATTAGCCAATAACACATTGGCAAGAAATTTGCTTGATGTGTGACTCTGTCCAGTTACTCCAGCGTAAACATTCCTTATTTGCTCTGAGTGCCAGTGCAGATCACTTTGCCCCAATTCATAAAGTTGAATTTTTAAGGAGAGCGTTTGACTCCTTGTCTCCCCCTTCCCAGGTCATTCCGCTGGGACGCTGGCAGGATTACAGCCTTCTTGAGAGAGTGGGAGAAGATCGCCCAAGACAAGTGGGTATTATTTCTGCTCTTTGGTGTCCTTCTATACTTTATAACTTATGGCCTTTGAGTGCCAGGTAGGTGAGCCACTGCACGTTTTGGAATGCACAATACACCCTTCTGGCACTTAAACATTTCATGTCTTTTGGGCTTTTAGTCCCCTCCCCTCTTTTCAAGAATCTGCAAATGGGCCAGTGGTTCTTTCCCCTATGATGCTATGCATTTGCCTATGATTTATGAAGATAGTGTTTATTTTAATGGCATTTTCTCATGAATTGTTGATTTTTGACAGTGTAATATTTTCATGCTCTTACTCTTTCATGGTATAAGCGGCTATGTTAGGGCCAGGACCAATCTCTGTAAACAGAGGGCAGTCTCTGTTCAGGAAGTGTAACCTGTTTGTGTGAACCTCGGAGGGGGCATGTTCCAGCAATTCAATTAATCCCGCTAAACTGCTGTCCGTGCTCTCTTCATATGCTGGCATTCAGGGGGTGTTGCAATCACTGCATACAGACAATGTTTTCATTGAGAAGTTCAGCTTGTGTTACTGACAACAATGACATTGCTTATGAACAAGCACCTTTTAAGGTGGGAAACGGGTGAAGCTTTTGTGCTTCCAGACAACCAGCTTATGCCCACCCCTTTCTTAAAGGTAACAAATAAAGAAATGGAATTATTTGAGGGATTTTTACCCACATTTGTGTTTAGTGGTGTCGGGAATGTTAATATAGCTATGATACTTTCTCTGCATGCTAGCAAGCCGTTTTATATTTATAGGTCATGATACATTTAACCCCTTAAGGACCAAACTTCTGTAATAAAAGGGAATCATGTCATGTGTCCTTAAGGGGTTAGTGTAATTTATGTATGGAAATCCGAACATCCCCTTCCCCCAAATAACACGACATGCAAGACACCTCTTATCACGTTGCGTGATACAAAAATTACAAGAGAGGAAGGAGTAAATAAATCTCAGAGAAGTGGTGTCTTACCTGGTGGGATTAAACTGCTTTTCTCCGTTACGTATGACTGTACCTGCTGAATAACGCCATAGCAGCCATAGCACTGCAGTTAGACTACCGTGTATTCTGACAGACACACAATGCTTCATAACGGTTTGCTTAGTGACGCCTTAATAATGGTAGATGTGGCATCGACACATTATAAACCTGTCTGTTGTTTACCAATCTGAATGTTTCTACTGAAATAACAAAGTTACTGCTCTGTGTCTGTGCCAGTCTCGAAAGACATAGTTTAATAGTTGATCTGTGATTGGTAGGGGATTGTGGGAGTTGTGAGTAAGCAAAGATGGAGGATTGTAGGCGGTCTATTCCAGCTGTATCTCCATATATTTAATCTAGCTTGCTGAGGATTTGTGTGGTGTCGGCGATACAGAGCAATACAGCCCAGCAGGGGTATGGGTAGCAAATATTTACAGGATATAATGGATTTCTATAAATAGAATGCATTTCTGATTTCTGTCTCTTGAAATGTACTTTGCATAAATCTATTTAAACGATCGTATCAGATGCATTAATAATCGCTTGGTTAGATAGAAGTAGTATTAGATTCGGCTGTAATTACAGCTCAAAGCATTGATAGTTTTTCCGTAGGTGGTTCGCCATCCAGGCATTGGGTCACTTTCTAACGTACAGTGACCATTATTGATAAAAGAAAATACTGGGAGCATACACGGTCAGTAGCCAATCAGAAGCTAAGATTTAAAGAGGTGTGCCCTTTATCTCCTTGCACTCCAGTGTGCATTGATGAGCAAATGCATATCTTTTGAAAAGCTCCATTTTTAATTAAAATGAACTGGACAACATAATCTGTACAATGAAAGAATAGACCTCAACCGGTGATGTGATATCTATACAGCGTGAATAGTTTTAAACCCTTTTGCTTAGTTTTTGGAAAAACCTGCTATATAGTTGCACGTTTGATCCTCTTTAGTCACATTTTGTTGCATCCTTCGTATCTGCCCCTTCAGGAGCTAGGGCGGGATCACTTGCCTACATGTAGAATTAAATAATATTATCTTTCTTACTATTTGTAGGATTAGCCGTGCCTCGAGACATTTGAGAGATCCTGTAGTGGGTCCTACATCTAGTAGTGTGCAAGCGTGGTTTAAGCCAATATCATTCTTTTTGTGTCTTCTTTTTTTGCAGATGTTTACCGTTCAGCTCACTTTAGGGGACCAGAACTGGGAGGCCGAAGGGACAAGTATAAAAAAAGCTCAACATGCTGCTGCTGCCAAGGCCCTGGAGGGGACAAAATACCCCAAACCTACAGCCCGCCCATCTCGCGGTGAGATAAAAAACCCAGGTACAGGTTTACAACCCTCCACGGCATGTAAACATGTACTGCTTTATTTTTTTACCTTATTGTTTCCAATTTGAAGTAACACTCCAAGCACCACAACCACTAACGTTCACTTTAGTAGCTTTTATGCCAGTAGTACCCCTGCCCAACTCCCCAATTGTAGGTAGTCAAACCGGTTTTGAAATGGTTTGATTTTTTTTTTAGCCCCCACTAGCTGCCTACAGCTAGGGACAGAGGCTTCCTACAGTGTAATAATACAGTTTGTGTTCCGTTAAAGTTAAACTGGTGAATTTTCATCAGAGGCCGTGTTACAAAATCTGTTTTTATAGTTTATCTGTTGTAAATTTAGTGTTTAATTTGTCAGACTTGGTCCATATTTAAAAAGTTCTCTTTTATTACTACTGAAGGATTCGTTTTTAAATTAAACGCTTACGTTCCTCTTTTCTACGTTTTTTGTTTTCTCCAACATGTTTCCTATTCACTGACTGAGAGATATGTAACATATAAGCTAAGCAAGCAATATGTATTGCTTCCTTCATAGAGAGCTAAAGACTTTCTGTTTAGTTTTGACATGCACCCAGGGGTCGTTGTTTAACTTCCTAATTGCATGTGTTCACCCAGCCAACCCGCTAAAGCATTTACAGTAAGAACCATTATTTGACCTATTTACTATGTCATTTTAGTTGGTTAGAATCTGTATGCAGATCAGAGGTTCATTGGTTTGATGTGAGGTGGTTTATCCAGTTCTGAAAGATGAAAACCAGTCTTCTGAATGCCCGATTGATTTGTGTGCCTATCTTTTCTACAATTTACAGATAGCATAACACCTACCGTGGAGCTGAATGCATTGTGTATGAAACTTGGCCGGAAGCCTATATACAAGCCCCTGGACCCATACACAGGCATCCGTTCGGCTTACAGCTACAACATGAGAGGAGGCGGCTACCCTCCACGGTATGTTACTGAAGGTAACCCATTTGGGGTTTAATGCTTGCTAGGCCCAGCAGGTGTTAGAATTGATTCATAAAAATAAATGATTTAAAATTCTCATGGTACCTTGCCATACGCTGAATCGCCTACAAGGTGTAATTCATCTGGACTTGGCCTTTCTGGTTCAGCTCGGCCTTGCAAATTAAATCCAACATGTACCTGTCTCCAGCTATGTTGAGCACAAAATAAGTGACATGGGTTTTTCGCATTAGTACTTAGTCCTTTTAATGAATGAATTTACTCTGACCACCAGGCCCTGAATAAGATGTAAAAACATGGATTGTACAGGCGTGTGATTAGTGTTTTTTTTGGTTTCTTTCATGTTGGTTATTGCATCTGTTGGTAAAACAAATGCTTCCTACTTAGAATAAAGCTCTAATATATCCCTTTTAATACATCTCTCCAGTGACAGTTTGTAATGTTAATGAGATGTAACTCTGAAGAGGCAAACTGTGCATGATTCTGTGCTGCTAATGGAAAATCTGGATTTCAGAATCCTGTGCAGGTTTGGATTATAAATAAAATCAGAAACTAATCATTTAGCCCTTAAACTGGGAATTGTGGAAAATTGAAAAAGTAATTGCAAAATATTCTATCTTCGCTATATTTAAGTGTATAAATCCTGAATAATGTATAGTTCTTAATGTAGTTAGGTGAAAACAAACACATTATTATAGTGCATTCTCTCTAAAATGTATATTTCCTAAACTCGAAGGTACTTTTACCCGTTTCCGGTCCCACCCATGCTTTATCAAGTTGAGCTCTCTATTGGTGGTCAATTGTTTCACGGCAAAGGAAGGACACGGCAGGCAGCTAAACACGACGCAGCTGCCAGGGCGCTAAAGAGTTTAAAGCATGAGCCGCTTCTTGGCAAACCAGAGGTACGGATTTTATTCAACAGGTAATGAGTTACTAAACCACTGTAATGCAATATTTGGGTTTTATTAACAAGTGGGTCATTTCTACTGATAAAGGTGGATTGTTAGCGTTTAAGTTTACTAAAAATTAACGGTTTCTGCTCCAATAATAACTGAGTTTTATATGTGGTAATATATTTGCCTTATCTACATTTTTACAGAGGAATTATTCTTGTCTAACGGTTGAGTTCTATTTTTTTATATACCCTTTAGCTTAATGGCAGAGTGCCTGATGAGGAGAATCTTAATAAATCTGAAATAAGCCAAGTGTTTGAAATTGCCCTTAAAAGGAATTTACCTGTGAACTTTGAGGTAAGACCTTTAGCTTTCTTTCAGTATGAGAAGTTGTGAGTGTCCTAATCACATACTAATTATATAAGCTTACTGTTTGTTTTTGAAATCTACAAAATACTTTATTGCATTACAAAGTTTTAATAGTTCATCAGTGACCGACCAGTAAAAATGCTTCCTAGAAAATATTGTCTGTGAGAAAATGACAGTGTCTCAGAAAATGTGTTTTCATTTAATTTAACCACAAATAGTGCAAATTTTGTTTTTAGGTTCCTGTTACTCTTGAGATGAAAACTTATTTAACTCTTCCTCGAGAATTCCGCAAAGATTGAAACTTTAAGGCAGATTCATCTGAATTGCAACCCTGTGATTGCTAACCTTTGCACCTCATTCTTTTTTGGACTCCATGTCCCATGATGTCCAGCCAGTGTTTTGGACTGGAAGTGTAGTTTACAAAAGTGCATGGGGTTTAAAGGTTCGCCATTGCTGATATTTTGGAATGTCCTCATTTGGTCAGAGGCCAATTTAAAAAAAGTTACAGCTGTCCTTCTGTGCTGCCTTCCACAGGTCACCAAGGAGTGTGGCCCTCCGCACATGAAGAGCTTTGTAACGAAAGTCTCAGTTGGTGAATTTTATGGGGAAGGGGAAGGGAAAAGCAAAAAAATATCCAAGAAAAATGCTGCTATGGCGGTGCTGGAAGAACTGAAGAAACTTCCGCCGCTACCAACGGTTGAGAAAATGAAGCCAAGAATTAAAAAGAAAACCAAATCAATTGTAAAGGTGAGTAACCACAGGATAGAATGCCTGTATGGGGTGCATTCCACAGTCTAGAAAACCTGAGATAAGTTCAACCTTATATTTCACTACTGAGCGTTGGCTTTTGGAATCCAGCAGAGTGTAATAATGGAATAACACTGCCTGTTTTACCACGATGACTTCGAGTTACATTAGTTCATCTGTCCAGTCACTCACAGTGAATAGGTTAAACTAGGTGCTCTAGAGACCTTGTCATTCTCAAATTGCTGTCTAGAGTATTGTTAATCCCTTTAAAGCGATATTGAACACAGAAAGTTCTAATGTGCATGCAGATGTTTTGTGACATGACTTTTAAAGGGACACTTTAGTCACTAAAGTGTATGGTGTACGGCTTATTGTACGGTATGCAGCTTATTGTATTTGAAGGGAAGTATTCTACTCACCAGAACAGACTTTTTGCCGTAAACCATATCTTTTCAGAGAAAATGCAGTGTTTACATTATAGCCTAGGGATACCTCCACTGGCTATTAGATGTGCTTCCTGGGGCAGTGCTGCACAGTGTGACTGACATTCAGTGTCTCCACCCTCTGCATGGAGACACTGAACGTTCCTCATAGAAATGCATTGGTTCAATATATCTCTATGAGGAGATGCTGATTGGCCAGGGCTGTGTTTGACTTCTGCTGTCTCTGCCCCTGATCTGCCTCCTTGACAGTCTCAGCCAATCCTATAGGGAAGCATTGTGAATGGCTCACAGAATTACTTCTGATGCTGTTAGCCAAGCAGGCAGATCAGGGGCACAGCCAGCAGCTGCAGACTTGAATACAAGTAAGATTTTATTCTAATTAGGGAGGCATGGGGCGGATAAATGGCAGTTTTAACACTATAGCATCAGGAATACATGTTTGTGTTCCTTTAATGGTGAAATATGCTGTGCTTAAAGGAAGCCGTAAGATTAAAGGAATGACAGGCCTTAAACATTATTCTCCACTGCAAGCTACAGTATACCCTAAATCAGGGCTTGACACATTTTGTTTGGAATCTAGGAGCCAGCTAGAAAAGTTAGGAGACAGTTTTTTTTATTTTAAAGGGACACTATAGTCACCAGAACCACTACAGATTAACGTAGTTGCTCTGGTGTCTACAACCTGTCCCTGTAGCCTTTTCAATGTAAACGGTGCATTTTCAGAGAAAAGTCAGTGTTTACATTACTGCCTAGTAACACCTCTAGTGACAGTCACTCAGAAGGCCACTGGAGAGTCCTGTGTCAGTGCTCTGCATGGAGGCGCTGAATGTTACCCATACAGAACATGCACAATATTCTCCCAATGCTTTTCTATGAGAAAGTATTGGCTTAGATGAGATCATAAAGATTAATTAACTTGGCTATGGAGGCAGGACAAGCCACGGCAAAACTAGCATGGCGTGGGGAAAAAGGTGAGTAAAAATACCAGTCATGTGATCAGAGGTACCTAAACAGACACACACTCTCTGACAGACACACTGGCAAACATACACAAACAATAGCACACACTGACAGAGACATACATACATACACACATTTTCTCACACACTCACAAATTTGGGAGAGCTGAGTGGACTTTCCCTGGGGTCCAGCGTGCGATTGAGCAGTAATCTACCTGCAGCTCCTCTCTGCTCCCTGTAGTGATGCTGGGGCCGGAATGACGTCATCATTAAACAGCGTGAGGGAGCATAGTAGATCGTTGCTCCCTCCCGCACTGCATCAGCCGGCCGTCTCCATAAATCCCTGGGTGGCCGGCTACAACTCTCCTTGAACCGTCAATCTCCATAAAGCTCAGGGCTCCATTATTTGCCCAGCCGGCCGCTATAGGAAGAAGGTTGACAAATTCAAGGCACCAGGTCGAAATTTCTAGTCGCCATGGCGACCTGTCGCCTGGGATTTGTTGAGCCCTACCTTCTCCAATGGCTGCAGAATGGAAATCCAAGCTTAATGAAGCAGTTTTGGTATATAGACCATGTGCCCCTCCAGTCTTGCTGCTCAATTCTTTGCCATTTATGAGTTAGAATACGGTTTTTGTTTATACAGCACTAGACACACCTCCCCTGATTGTGACTGACACAATGTACATGAAAGCATGATTTCATTTTCACGTCAGATGTGACGGCACTGTGTGTTTACTTTGGAAGTTTTTGTCTCGAGCTGTTTTACTTGACCTTTTAATCACACACAGGAAATAAGAAATTCTAAATTAAACAGACTGCAATAAAGGAAGTTTTAGATCTCTTTAAACAGGAAGTTTGTAGGGAGACTGTGGAGTTAATGTGCAGGGGAGGAGTTACTAGGGCCGCATGAACAAAATGAATGGAGCAGTTAGACTGCAGGGGTATGATCTATACACCCAAACCTATTTGTTAAGCTAAAGTTGTTTTGTTGCTTATAGTGTCCCTTTAAAAGAGGACGTGATAGGGTTAGGAACACAAACATGTATTCCTAACCCTCTAATGTTAAAAACTCATTTAGTGTAGTTGTTGTGATTATAGTTTCCTTTTAAGGTGTAACTAGATTTCTCAACTGTAGTCTACCAGGCTTCATAACATTCAAAGTCAGTCAGATAGAATTGTGTAGAAATGTAGATTCCAATAAAGCAATTCCTTCTCGTTGTAAAATGCAGTGATAATTTGTTTTGTCAGAGTTTGACTAGCAGAAAATAGGTGCATTCATAGCATTTGTATTTAAAAAATTTATTTTTTTAGCTTTCTTAAAAGTAACATTTCATGCACTGTAATTGCAGTGGTTATAGTGACTGGAGTCTCCTAGCTCCGTCAATTCATTCAGCATTAAATCTTGTAATCATGGGTCCCTAGCATGGCATCCCCTGTGTGCTGCTTGTACTAGTGAGGAGCATTAGTCTGAGCAGCAATCCATGACTGTAATTGGCTGAGTGTTTCATCTGATAGCATTCATCCTATCACAGTCCTGGCATGAATCCGTATGGCTGGAAGGGGGAAAATGGTTTAACCCTGAAAGGAGCGCACCAGAGGACTCAGAGTGTTAGAACCAATTTAAAGAGAGGAAATGCTTATAGAGCCTACAGTGTGGCTATAATGTCCTGAATAACATACATGTGGTTTGCAATTCAGAATCATATTGTTTTGTGGTTTCTGTTTGTTTTTTCCTGTGAAATCTCATTTGGGCTGCTTTCCAGAGTACGAAGATGTAACGGTTATTTTGTTTTTAATCTTGCAGCCCCCAACAAGCCCGGAGTATGGTCAAGGAATGAATCCCATCAGTAGACTAGCTCAAATTCAACAAGCAAAAAAAGATAAAGAACCAGAATATGTGCTAATCACAGAGAAGGGACTCCCGAGGCGCCGGGAGTTTGTCATGCAGGTGTGTTCTTGTCCACAAGCTTTTCGTGGCTTTTTACTGTGTTACACCATCACTCCACACTCCCTTCTTATGTTTCTGGAGCGAACGAATGCGAATACATTGTGGCTCGGTTTTTCCGTTTGCTTGGCAGAGACTGTACCGAGCATAGGCATGTGTGTGACATCTTGCATGCAGACTTGTTTCAATAATTATATTCTCCTAAACAAAGCAACTGGAAGACCAGAATGTGCTGCAAAATCCCAAGAACATCCTGAATAAGGTTGAGATGACTTGGTAGAAGATCAGAGCCCATAGATTTTTATATTTAATCTGTTTACCATCCAATTGTTTTCTTTCTTTCTATCAACAGGTCAAAGTTGGATCTCAAACTGCAGAAGGCTCAGGCACCAATAAGAAAGTAGCTAAACGTAATGCTGCGGAAAATATGTTGGAGAAGTTAGGCTTCAAAGTCCCACCTCCTCCCCCGAAATCTGCCATTAAAACAGATGAAAAGGTTAGTTGGGCATTATGTTTGTATGGCATAGTTTTCACTGCCCCTAGTTTACTTAAATGGTAATATCATACAAATGCTGACCCTACTAGTGAGACATGTGTAACATATTCTGTGAACAAAGAAAAATCTCCAGTACGTTAAAAAGTAAAATCTTTATTCAGTTAAATTGAAATCCCTAAGAAATAAATCCAACACACTGCAGTCATGGATGCTATAGAGCGCCATTTACTGTGCGCCGTGTCTTCCTAACGTGGCCATGGTCTTACTAACGCGACCGTGGTCTCACTGTACGCCGGGTCTTGCTAACGCGGCCGCGGTCTCACTGTACGCTGGGTCTTACTAACGCGGCCGTGGTCTCACTGTACGCCGGGTCTTACTAACGCGGCCGTGGTCTCACTGTACGCCGGGTCTTCCTAACGTGGCCGTGGTCTCACTGTGCGCCGGGCCTTACTAACGCGGCCGTGGTCTCACTGTACGCCGGGCCTTACTAACGCGGCCGTGGTCTCACTGTACGCTGGGTCTTACTAATGCGGCTGTGGTCTCGCTGTATGGCATGTCCTACTAACGCGACCGTGGTCTCACTGTACACCGGGCCTTACTAACGCGGCCGTGGTCTCACTGTACGCCGGGCCTTACTAACGCGGCCGTGGTCTCACTGTACGCCGGGCCTTGCTAACGCGGCCGTGGTCTCACTGTACGCCGGGTCTTGCTAACGCGGCCGTGGTCTCACTGTACGCCGGGTCTTGCTAACGCGTCCGTGGTCTCACTGTACGCTGGGTCTTACTAATGCGGCTGTGGTCTCGCTGTATGCCATGTCCTACTAACGCGGCCGTGGTCTCACTGTACGCCGGGTCTTGCTAACGCGGCCGTGGTCTCACTGTACGCTGGGTCTTACTAATGCGGCTGTGGTCTCGCTGTATGCCATGTCCTACTAACGCGGCCGTGGTCTCACTGTACACCGGGTCTTACTAATGCTGTTGTGGTCTCGCTGTATGCCGTGTCTTACTAGTGCGGCCATAGTCTCGCTGTACGCCGTGTCTTACTAGTGCGGCCGTGGTCTCGCTGTACGCCGTGTCTTACTAGTGCGGCCGTGGTCTCGCTGTACGCCGTGTCTTACTAGTGCGGCCGTGGTCTCGCTGTACGCCGTGTCTTACTAATGCGGCCGTGGTCTCGCTGTACGCCGTGTCTTACTAATGTGGCCGTGGTCTAGCTGTACGCCGTGTCTTACTAATGTGGCCGTGGTCTAGCTGTACGCCGTGTCTTACTAGTGCGGCCGTGGTCTCGCTGTACGCCGTGTCTTACTAGTGCGGCCATGGTCTCACTATACGCCGTGTCTTACTAGTGCGGCCGTAGTCTCGCTGTACGCCGTGTCTTGCTAATCTAAAGCAGTGTGACAGTCCGCTCCAGCCAAGGCTCTGTTCAGACAACTATGATTTAAAAGGGGGGGGGTGGAGGGTTAGAAACTGTACAATGGGTTTACTTGAAGCTTTTGTTGCAGGCACCCATGAAGAAACCTGGAGATGTAAGGAAAGTAACTTTTTATGAGCCGGGATCTGGAGAAGAAGTCAATCGTAAGTTTTGAGGTTTTATCATTCATTGTTTTTGTTTTTAAAATCTTTTTTATTTCTCACAGGGTCTAAAGAATAAGCTTTTAAGTTGAAATTATTTGTACAATCTTGTTTTTTGTTTATTTTAATGCAAAACTCTGATATACATTTTCTATAGCTAAAGGCATTGTGTCCTAGCGCAAACTGCGGGTTGCCATTAGTTTGTCACGTTATGTTGGTTTATGATTCATGGGTCGTATTCCAGCTGCATTCTGATTGGCTGAATGCTTCGAGCAGCAAATCAGAATACAGCTATTATTTCAAACTGCTAAGTTTTTGCTTAAACTTCCTCTCTACAGCATTTTTCTGCACATGACTTTTTGCAGCAGTAATAAACAAAAATCATCATAACGTGATTTGTTTTTCGATTTTGTTTTTCTGAAGATAACAAGGATGAAGAGTTCCGGATGTCCTATCACAGCCATCAGCAGCTCCCCGCTGGGATACTACCCATGGTTCCAGAAGTTGCCCAAGCTGTTGGGGTTAATAAAGTACTTCACACCAAAGATTTCAATAGGGTGGCCCCCAACCCAGTGAATGCAACAGTGACTGCCATGATTGCAAGAGAGCTCCTGTACGCCCGCACCTCCCCCACCGCAGAAACCATCTTAAAGAATAAGAACTCTCCCTTACCCCATAGTCCACTAACCAGGCCCTCTGAGCAGCTAGCATATCTATCCAATGTCCAAGAAATACAGGTAAATCACTGTATAGAGAACACGCAAATGTGACTACACTGGTTTCTGGGTTTGGCTGAACATCTTGGGAAATGCTACCAAATCATGTATTGCCAAGAATTTCAGTCGTCGTATTCGAGCCCCAAGCTTACATTTTATCTTGACCTTTTAAGTATCTGGTATTTACAAATTACCTAAATAAGCAGATTATTTGTATCTAGAAAGTACTATGCAAATGGCATTGCTTAATGTCAACACATCAATATTTATGCTGATCTTCGTTTAATAGACAGTCTAAAATTAGTTTTGTAATTTAGCAGAAAGAGCAGAATGCAATAATTATTTTATTTGGCACTTTAGAAACTTGCACAGGAGGGCTTGGGTCATGATTGTGTACCTCTGCCTTCCTTATATATACATCACTGGGCGGGAAGGGTATACGGGTGAAGACCGTAGTTTGTCCTGAGACAGCTTTCGACCCTTAAAGGATATAAACATGTACTCCCTGCCCCCTTTTCTCCCTCGCAGAGACGGTTTTGCCATGGCTGTCCCCGTCTCCATGGCTGAGTTCATCAGTCTTGATGATTTCAGCAAGTCCAATGCTTTCCCATTTGGAAACCATTGAGAGGCTATTCCGCATACGAGCAAAACACTGCTTTGCGCCAATCTGCATCTCTGTGGGGAAAGTTTAGCGTCTCCATGAAGAGCGTGGAAACGCTGAACGCCAGTGTTGCGCACTGTGCAGCACTGAGAAGGGAAATTATCTAGTGGCCATCTGAGTGACTGCATCTAGAGGTGTTCCTAAGCCAGCAGTATAAAAAGGCATTGTTTACATTGAAAGGTCTGCAGGGACAGGATATAGACACCAGAACCAGTACATCAAGCTGTATACTGCACATTAAGCTGTATACTGCACATTAAGCTGTATACTGCACATTAAGCTGTATACTGCACATTAAGCTGTATACTGCACATTAAGCTGTATACTCCACATTAAGCTGTATACTCCACATTAAGCTGTATACTCCACATTAAGCTGTATACTGTACATCGAGCTGTAGTGGTTCTGGTGACTATAGTGTGCCTTTAATCGTTCCCCCTCTTCCTGCAGCCTCTCCTTCCCCAACCAGGCAGTCAGCCCAATTGGGGAACTTCGTAGGTTTGGATAAATCTGCTTTGAGCCCCCTTACCCATCAATGTAGGTTACAAACTTAATCTCTGATCCAACATATAGATAAACTGTAAACACTGGGAGAGATGCTTTGCCAACTTACTAGCCGGTAAGTGGCCGTCACAATGAGATTGTTATACGTGAAATGTACTGGCTCTCTGTGTTTACTGTTACCCACCAGTTGGCTCTGTCACTACTAGTGTGTACTACTATAAAATCTCCCATGTGACTTAATGTACGGAATTATTGGAGATTGCTGTTAATGACAGTCGCACCGGTGAGGTAGACGGCTAGTGATAATTACTAAAAGCCCAGTATCACACTTTCAATGCTGTAACTACTAGTGGAATCTTTACATGGGGCTAGAGGCTTAGAACTTCACTTTTGGAGCCCTCTGTAATTATTTCAAATAAAATCGTGTGTTCACATAGGATAGGCTGGTTAAGCATCCTGGGAGCTGTAGTTCTAGGATGCTGAGGATAGCTGTGTGGAAACACAACTTTTTCTTGTAAGGATATGGTTTTGCTGATTGTCGATTCCTCCTAATTGTGTGCTTTATTCCTAGGTCGAGTATAAAGATTTCCCCAAGAACAATAAAAATGAGTTTGTGTCACTAATAAACTGTTCCTCTCAACCTCCACTAATCAGTCACGGGATTGGGAAAGACGTGGAATCTTGTCATGATATGGTAAAGTTCCCCTCATTGTTGTGTCATATAACGCTTTTATCATTTATGTCTAAGGTGCTGAAATAGTGATCTGGTGCTGAAACTGGCCAAAATCTCTGAAGCCATTCTGCTGCTGTGATTTTATATATCTTCTGTACAAGATGGAATTTCAAAGAAATTCTAGTGAAACAAATTATCTTCTGGAAGACCAATAGAGGCAGATGTAGATAAATGTTCTTTATAGTATAAACAAAGCCCAGTTAAGATGGGATGGACTTGACTGGCTTAATGTTTGGTATTTTTTGTCACATCTGACTTAATGGATTCACTGTAACTCCCAGTGCTCTCTGGCTGTTTATAGAATTGGGTATTAGTCATGTTTTAGATTGTTTAGACCCCTGCCATCCAGGATTATTTAATAAGAAATGCCAAAGGCTGTTATTTCGATTGAATGATCTGACCTTTTATAGAAACGAGAGTCCCACAAAACAGACAGAATTACCTTTTAGATAAATATGCCGCGTCTTCAGGTTATGACGCACGGAGTTAAATGTTCTCATGTAGATCATTAAATTTGCGTTTTGTAGAAGAATATCACCAAAACACATGGTAATACATTTTATTATGACGGATTTTGTGTAAACAAGGCTCTGTTGATATATTAAAAATGTGTTTGTGTCTGCATGTATGTATTCTTTATTAATAATTTGTGACTATTTGTGCAGTTTTCCCAGAAAGTGTTTAAAATCCCATCAGTGCTCAGTTAAAGATGGTTTATGGGCTGTAATTTTTCATCTAAAACGTGGCCTTTGGAGAAATCTGTCGTGCTGCCATTTTGACTGATCTTCAGTCACAATCATTTTTTTTATCCTACCCAAGAGCTCTCTCGCTGGCTGCTGCTGCACATTTTACAGATGTCACCTCTGAGCTAGCGGCTTTTGCTGTGGAATTGTCTGTTCTTGGCCAACCCTACCAGCAATTGCGCAGTCCTTTTGTTTTTTTTGTAAGGATGAAAGAAAGTTGCCTGGCTTTACACCACTAGATATGTGATGACAAGTGGCATTATCGCTCTGTAAATGCAAGGGACAGCAATCTTGGGTCAGATAACAGACCATTCAAAACAAAGATCTCTCAGAATGGCTGTGGACACGGGGAGGGATAGAATTTATTTAAAATAAAACTCTAGCATTTTAAAGCAGAAACAAAATGAAAGTCAGTGCTTCAGACTTTAAAAAAAAAAATGGAAAGCAAAAGTTTTCTTTTAACATCATCTTTGGTCAGAAGCAATGCTTATTCGAAGATCGTGCAGGTAAGAGATACAGAAAGAAGCCATGGTAAAAATATTGCAAGGAGCAATGATTTCTTAATTCTGATATCATGCATTTAAATAAAGCATCCTGTGCCGGTTTAGTCTGGTCAAACTGGACTTAATCATCGGTCAGATAATTGACACTTCTGGCCAAAGAGGACTTAAAGATGGCTGCTTCCAGTGCACAGACAATGTCTTTAAATGCAATGAAAAGAGCTGTTTACTAAAATGTATGCATTAAAAACAATACATTGAGATTATTTTATGTAAGGTAAAAAGAGTAGCTGTATTATATTTCATTAGATTCACCATGTGCTCATGTATTACTTTATTATGTTTATGAAGGCTGCATTGAACATCTTGAAGTTGCTGTCTGAGTTGGACCAACAATCTACAGAGATGCCAAGGACAGGAAATGGACCAATGTCTGTGTGAGTTCCTCTCCTTTTTTACACCGTGTAATAGAAAGATGGGAATTTAAGAGCTGTGTCTGCTTTGTTTGAATGAAGACCACGGTAACATGTCATACAGGGTGCCTTACATCTTTCACTCGCTAAGGGGCACTCACATTGAAAGAGACCCAGAACAGCCCATGTGATGGCTCAGCTGGTTAATACTCTTCCTGTGTTTAGCACTGGAACTACACAATTGCAGTGACCTGAAGGTAAACACCTTTCCACAGTTAAGAAGAAGAAACTATATGTAGGAAAGTGTCTCTAATAATCTCATGTGTTGAGCAGAGAGGGCACCTGCCCTTCCTCTGGTATAGTTCTACCATGGGAATTCTACATAAAATGTGCAGGGTTTTTCTGTAGGGGAAAATATTTTACTTGTCTGTCTTGTCTCTTCATGAGATCTAGCCGTTTTGCTGATCAGAGAAGGGATATTCAGTGCTGTATTAGGAGACTAAAAATCTGCTCTCTCATAGCATGTTGTGTGTATGGACAGGACACATGCTAACTGTGCATTATGAAAAGGGCCTCAAATGATTTCTCTGCTTTTTGTATATAGATATTATTTGATATTTATATAGTGCCAGCATATTCTGTTGTACAATAGACAAATAATGAACACATACGATAACAAAAACAGCAGAGGACACTGTGTGCTTACAATCTAGCAACTGCAGTACTTTTATAAAAAAGTGTTTAGCAAGATAACATGTGAACTGACAATCTAAAGCTATATATGGGGAGTTGACACGTAATGTTGCAGCAATGCCCAGAGAGCAGGGGAAATATGCAAACACAGTGTAGTATGATGTCTACGTGTTCGGTTTTATCCTACTTTTGTTTGCCTTCATCCTGTTTTGAATAAATGTTGTTCCAACATTTTTCTTTTTTTTTTTTTTTTTTAAACAAAGTGTTTGGTAGTGAAAGAATTAACGTAATAGAGAAATTAACAGGGGAAATAAAGAACAAAACAAACTCTATGCAAGATCTTTTAATAATATGGCACACCTTGCATCTAAATGATTTGATATGTAAGTAAATATCTGCCTCGGTTTAATGTAAAGATCTCTCCTGCAGATGTGTGAAGGCAGAAATTGAAAATGACACTCTCCTCAAAACGGCTAACTCAAACATGTTGGGACAAACACTGGACAGTACTGCCTGAAACCCAAACGAAGATCTCCAACAGCCTGAAAGCACCATAGAAAATCAAACTCTCTCGTAGTCTGACCGTTTTATTGCCGAATGCTACCACTGAGCACAAGTCATGGGTGACCCCTGGCTCCCTAACTCTTGTTTGACAACACCCCCCACCACTCATTTCACTCACTGAAGGATGTTCTTGTCCTACAGGTAGGGCATGGGTGTCCAATTGCGGCCCTATAGCTCCCATAATTTTTAGCCACTCTAAGATTGTAATATAGTTGGAGCGTCGCAGTTAGTCTTGCAGGAGTTAGAAGAGCTGCAGACTTGTCATCTGTAATCAATTATAGCAGTGGTTAAATTATAAAATTATTTTTTACTTGTGTATACTTGATAATTTTAGTTTTTGAGTTTCTTAATTGTACCCACATTGTTCAATTTAGAAACTTTTGATACATTTCATTCTTTGAAAGATCATATCCTGATGTAGTCATATATACAATACGTATGTAATTTTTATTTATTTTTACTTTACTTTTTTTTTTTGACAATTCGTGAATGTTAGTTCACTTATGTAATGTGTGCCCTCCATTAAAAAAAAATATATATAATAAAATTCTGTCTGACAAATAGAGGATTAAATATCCAATAAAATATTAAAATAACTTTTTTTTCCCCTTTTAGTAGTTGTAGACAGTATTGAATAATTAGAATTTTTTATTTTATTTAATTTTTTGCTTTTTTTATATATATATATTTTGTGTGTGCATTGAAATGTAACATTTGTGAGGCACACAAGCTATATCACTGCATTTTGGGGTATGATCTCAAAAGTATTTATCAACTGCAGATTTGATTTTCCTTGAGTGCTTTTAAGATGTTTAATTACATATCCATGTAGGGCTGAGAAAAATGACTCTGTTTATATATAAACTGTATTACTATAGATGTTGTGTTATTGCGCGTAGAAATGCGTGCAGTAAATATTCGCATATGGTCCGTTCAAGCACGATCGCTTTGCAAGTTAAGTACTGCTTCAGTTCATTGTTTACGCTGGAATTTTTTCTCCCCATGGAATGTAAGTCAAACGTAGTGTTTGTCACAATAACGTAAAAGGAAAAAAAAATACATTAAAAAAAATATATAAATCAAACTACTCCTTGAGAGCCTGCGTCTCTTTTTCAAATGTACGAAAAAAGTGTAGAGTTTGGTAAATAAAACAGCCGGGGCTTGGCAGGTAATGTGTCTCTACTCTTTTGGTGCATTGTTCTGATTCATCAAAGTGCTGTGTCGGTGTCTGTCACATCTGGCTTTAGTGAATGAAAGGGGGAGCTTAAAATCTGGTTAGTTTCTACACAAATCTTAAAAGGGCTTTATATACATGTTGCTTTTAGACCACATTGAAAGGTATAGTTAACCAGCTGCTGTGTGCCTCTTACAATGTATTAGGATTAAACTTAGATTTTGGGATTTGCAGTATATGCTATATGCTTGTAACATGTTCTGGGTACAAATCACTTTAATGTCATACATTTATATGAATAAATGTATGTACTAGTTACTGCTTCTCTGATATGTTAGTGGCACTGTTTTAAGACATACAGGATTCCTTAAAAGGCACTCTACGCACCATTATGGGATGCTTATATCAGTTTTGGCTGTAAAGTAATACGGCGGGCACACACGCCACATACGCACAACTTGGACTTATCTCTCTTCTTCCTGGGACCGAGAAAGGGAGCTGTATATGCGTGGTGTGGGCCCTGTAACTGGATTCATTGGCAAGTGACGTGTACATATACGAACTGCTTACATTCCAAATAACTGTCGGAACATATAATAATGAAAGGGGACACTTCAGACTACTTTCAAAACACTTTAATATGTAAGGTGAATTAATTGGATGAAATGTCCTGAATTAGCTGTTATTTGAAAGGATCTTGATATATTTGAGTGTCCTCTCTGCAGTGTTAAAATACTGCTACATTTTTTGTTTTTATACACAAGAAATCTGTGTATTAAGATAAAACAGTGTGTCTCTGTGTAGTCTTGCTTTGGTGAGGTTGCTTCAGAGACCTGCCTGAGATGACGTTATCAAGGTTAATTGTTTCTTGGGGTCTGGTACACTGAATTTGAGTCTTGAGAGGCATTTGTTGGTTTCATTTGGAGGAACTCATCCTTGATCCGGCTTCCATCTTATCCGAAGTTCTTTCACTCTGCAAACAAAACGGTTCTGAGAGGTTGATGGGTTTAAATTAATGGCAAGGTCACGTATTCCACCAACCAATAAGGAATATCCGTTTCTCCTTTACTTGTAATTGAAAGTAATAAAACAGACTCACTGAACACATATGAAGGATTGAGGGTAAACCATAGCTGAACACCTTATTGTCCTTCTTTACCAAAGCCAGATCCCGACGTGGGATGGTACAGGTTGCTGGAACAGCAAACACCTAAAGTGTGACAATATATTTCCCTTTCAATTTTGTTGTGACCACAGAGGTTGACTAGAATATAGCACACCAATTCTAATCTCCGCTTTCTCTCTGTGCTTTATCGTCTAACTGGGAGGTATATAAAGGTTTGCGAGTCCCAGGCCTCTCAGGCTCCCCCTCCTCCATAACACGCTTGCACAATTTGACCAAGCATTCACTGGCTGAGAGCATCACAGCGCTGCTAACGTACAATAAGAACATGAAGACTGAGTGACTGGGGGGCCCAGGTAAGTATCACAATGTGACCTGATGCAAGGGGACTCCTGGTACTATAATCACTACTGTGGGCTGTTCTGATGCTTCCAATGCCCATTTAAGTTCCTTTGTCACGTTATAGAATCTACTCACTCTTAACATAGACAATCCAAGCTTTTCTTAGTGGTGAAAATCTAAAATTGTTTTGCAAATCTAAATGTGAAAATTAAAGTAGAATTCTTATTTCACTTCGTGGAAGTAATTACACAGAAACGTAGGTAGAGGGGGAATGTCACACGTGTTACCAAAGACTTGTACATGGTGGCAGTGTAAATATGAGCTGATCACTAATGTATGTTATTAAACCTGACAAATCCAGAATTAGAAAATAAAACTGGCTGGAATTGTGTTTATTATAAGAAAACCTCTAAATCTGTAGGCTTTTTTGTTTTATCATGAGACCTATGAAAGAACAGTTTTTCGTATTTATTCAGTAGTTTTTTTAATTCACTACTTCTATGATTTGTTTAGTTTTTTTCCCCCATGAACAAATACTTACATTTGTAACCAGAAACTTGTGAAATAGTAGCTGGACTTCCCATGGCACAACACTGAAAAAAGAAAGAAAAAAAAATCCCTTTAAGTTTCCTTAAATGCTGTAATTTAGATGACCGTACAGCGCTGGCGCCTGCGTTTACAGCCGGACTTACCTCAATCACTTCTACTCATTAGACGTTGATTTGTAGTGAATCGAATTGCAATCACACATTATCACAGCTTGGCTTTTTTTATCCTGAATGTTGCAATGTATATTCTAACTCCTGCAGTTGGTGTTTACTGGATGTGCTGGAGCAGGCAACCTATGACACTCCAGATGTTATGGGCTACATCTCCCAAAATGCTCTGACATATATAGTGCTGGCAAAGCAGCAAAGGATATGGAGTGCCCCAGGTAACCCTGCGTAGTGTCCAGAATTCAGAATGTGTTTGGTCTCCTAATGGTATGAAGGCATCTACTGTGTATTCTGCAGAGATCAGCACAAACTATTGTATCATTAAACTTAAAGAAATATATACTTAACTGCTTGAGGATGGCCACGATGTAAAGCAGTCTGGGCATGAATACTGTGTGCTGATCAGTCACGACGCCGGTAACCGCTTTTTTCACACCATGTTCTGTGCACATTGATGAAACCAGGAGTTCGATATCTTGTCTAGTAAGAAATGAGCATACAGCGTACAAGTGTTAGATTTACAGCTGCCAAAGTAATATCACTTTACGTTACATGTTTTGGAAAACACAAAGATGTCTGGGAGAAATTAATTTTTTTTTTAACTGGCACCATTCTTGACATCTCCTATCCCCCATTATAAAATAAGTAAAAATTGGTACACTTACCGAATTCTGATCCCACTAAATGATCCTGAGTTGCTTTTATACGGGCATACAAGAGTTGTCTTTACATTGTCTATGCTTCTGGACTTCAACAGATGGCTGAGAGCTTCATGAAACCCAACAGAGGCAAATTGGCTAGCACAGTACCCCTTTAAAAGGACAAAAAAAAGTCTTAGAAGACATTCATTGTCTGTTTAAATAGCACTGCTTCCATTCACTGAGGGAGACTTGAGTTGGTGATAAAGATCTGGCAAATGCATGCCAACATTCAGGATTTTGGCATCCCCTTGTTCTGATGGGCATACTACGTGAGTTGGTCTGCATGGAGAATTGGCTTAGTAATCCTTGACTGAGGTCATTGCCAATGATGGTTAGTAGAGCCTGGGCAAGGAACAGATTATGTGTATCAAATAGTAAATGGAGAGCCCTTTGATAGGAAATCAGCGGCAAGTGGAATGTATTAATGAGCCCATGTAGTGATGGATTTAAAAGTTTGCAGAGTAATATTTCAGGTCTATATGTGGGGTGTTAGAAAACTGTTTTATATACGGTAATACATAGTGCTGGTAGTCAAACTGCAAATGTGGTGATGTTCGGTGCAATATATTTAGGGTTTTTTTTCAATTATTCCGTCTGTTGTCGACTAAAGACCGTATCGTACCTACACCATTAAAAGTTACTTTGCACGTTTTTTCTTTTCCATAAGGAATACAAAATGAGTGTGCATGATGATAACGACATACAATCCTAATTACTCGTTTGGCACACTTTGGGGCGAAAGACAGGTGTATAGAGTGCAATGTGCTAAGGATTTTATAACCAATCCACCCAACCTATTAGGGGCAGCCAAATACTGGAGAGATTTATCACAGTGTTCTGTTTCACAATATGTAAACGTTTCTCTTAAGTCCATTAGTATCCATGACAATTTATCCACTTATAAAACTATGCTTTACTTTTCAGATCACTGCACTTTGTTAAATCTCTTTGGAGAAAATAAGTGCAAGTTAACTGCTGTTTGTAAGACTTTGGGTTTATTTATTAAATTGTGGTTTCTGATGAAATGGCAACAGAATTGCAGATATGAAACCAAAATATACAATATTTAAAAAGTGATAGTATATTTATTTCCAGTATTTTATTTGTGACCTAAGTTATGTTTGTGGTTTTTTTGTTTTGTTTTTTGGTCTTGGAATATGTTATCAAATACAAATTGTAAAACCTGCCAGTGATATTCATTGTTCAGCATCGTGACTTAATGGACACGTTTTCTTGTATTTTGATCGAGCTGGGTCAGTCAACAAAACAAACAGAAACATTCTCTAAACAATGGGGCTCGGCCGATGGATTCAGCGGGCCTGCCTGACAATGTTTTGATACAATAGTTCTTGGACAGAGAGTGTATACAATGGTGTCAACTCAAAGTAAGACCGGAATGCCAAATCTGCACTCAACAAAGTCACAGGCCAGGCTGACCAATCAGATGATACCTGGTCCGATAAAAGTGAACTTTTATTCCCTGTGCAACAGCGCCGTCTTCTGCTGAATCAGGAAATTCCATGATGTGCATTATGAGCGCCACGACTAGCTGAGACGGTCTCTAAGGTGTACCTATCATTATTTTGAGAAATAAAATGATCAGCAACACATGCCCTCTGTATATTCTGCCATGAAGGCAACGTCTTTAGTACAAAATCCAAGATAATGTGACGGTAGAATCTGTCTAACAAACATGAACTCGCACGTTAGTTAATCGTGCATCCTGTAGGACGGGCCTGGACGTATCCCACCACTCCGGGATTAATAAAGGCAAAGTTATTACTGCAAAGTTTTTTGTTTTTTTCTTCCTGTAGTAGTTGCTAGTGACGACTCGGAAATAAGGCATTATCGCGCTCACTGCAAGATATCTATAGCTGTTCCTGCAGGATTCTCCACAGACGACATTGTTGCGCATGAGAAATTACAGCACTGATGTGGGCTCCTGACGGACGTTGCACCAGGACTTTGTTTTTTACTGTATGTATTGGAGCTGATGTGTACTGTGATCGTTGCTGCCGCCCAGGAGTAATGGGAGTGAGCGCAGGACTTATCATTTTGTATTTATATTCCCTTTTTGTATCACACAGCCTTGTTACAATGTTGCCACCCATCCCTGTTCCCTATTAAGGGTTAATAAGTTATATTGGGGTGTATATAAAAAAATACCTCTTTCTGTCTTAGTAGAGATATCTTTGCCAGAAGCTCAAGGAAGCAAGGTGAAAGGTTAGTGTAGGGCCAGTGTAGGGGGGCTGCCTTGATGTTGGCAGGCGGGTATTCCCTCCAGTGGCCATTGGAGTAATTAAATGACCTCCATTTGTTTAAATACACATAGGGATTTAGGAGAGCGCGCAGGTAACTTTTTCTTTGGTTTTTACTGTAGCACCAGGAGCTGAAGTAGGAAGATGGCAGTGCCCGCAGGGACAACATCAGGTAAGTATAACTCATAGCTACACCGTAGGGTGTGTAAAACACACAAGGACCCCCGAAGGTGACAGAGTTGCTTTAAATAATTTCTTGACAAACCTGGTATTAAAGGGGGCTATTTGTCAATGGATTAAAAACCACAGCATCTAACCCTTCACTCTCAGGAAATCAGGCGATCACACTAACCTCTAATCAGGCGATTATACTAACCTCCATGTTCGCTGCTGCCACAAGACCCAGGTAGCTGGCTACTGTAACAATGTGCCCCTTGTTCATTGTGATCATCCTAGGGAGGAAAGCCTTTACAGTCTGCAGGGAAATCAGTGTCTTAGTGAATAGCACTATACCATGCACAAATTATACTATACCATACACATATACTATACCATGCACAAATTATACTATACCATACACATATACTATACCATGCACAAATTATACTATACCATACACATATACTATACCATGCACGAATTATACTATACCAAGAACAAATTATACTATATCATGCACAAAATATACTATATAATGAACGTACGTCATGCACAAATTATAATATACCATGAACGAATTATACTATATCATGCACAAATTATACTATAAAATAAAGAGAGAGAGTAAGCGCTTAATAACAAAATGGGGCAGCGACCCTTTAATGAAGAACCCTTTAATCAAGAACCCTTAGAGTACAACAATAATAAAAACAAAGATAAGGGCTGCTCCAAATAGACCAATAAAATATATAACAATGATATATGGAGGTAATCCAAAATAAAAGGTCTTAGCTGAACAGATCTTCCTTAGATTGAAAACAGTCTATAAAGTGCTTGGTCAGGAACAATGTCCATTACACTCCATTTTAATGCTGATGCTTAATGATATTATTGGCCTAGCATGTTCATAATATAAAACTGTGCCTGTTCCCTAAATGTCCCGCATGTTAAGCGAGGAGATACGCCTGAGGACTGCTATCGGGGCACCTTAAGCCTGTTTATACTATTTCTGTGCACATTAAAAATTTCAAAAAATAGGGGGCGGGGCCGGACCGCCGACGGGATCAGACGTGCTCTGTCTGAGCTCCCGCTTTGGGGCCGGAAAATCGGCGCAAACTGGAGGCAAAATCTTTCCAGCAACCCTCAACGGAGACTAAACTGAGCCCCAGATCCTGGGGTACGAGGAGAAACCCCTCAAGATCCTGTCCGGCGCCTACAGTAACCCGAAAAAGGCCCGAGGCGTGCTGGAGCTTGAGCCGGAATGAGACGGCCGGCCTCCCCCCCCCCCTCTGGACCGGGGGGGTCATCCCGGTCTACATAATCAACTGCTATTACGCCAAGCTGGGCAGAAAACAATCACCCTGCTGGGAAACACTCACCGACAGCACCCTCCCAAGATGGCCGCCGCATGCCAGCCACAAGTGCGAACTACCCACAGGATGGAACTTGCACACAGACGAAACCATCCAGCGCCATCTGACCACCACAGTAATCATCTCCAGGGATGTGTCGGCTCACTACACTGGGCTAAACAAGGTGATGTTTGCAGCATATATATTTGGTGGAAAAACTCCTTTGTGCCTGAGGAAAGCACAGTCACTCTCCTGAGGCCCACCCTATCCCCCCTGGAGGCAACTACAGTAGCTGCAACTGCATCCACGCTTCTCCTGTGCGACACAGCACACCACTTACCACCTCAAGGTGCACCCTTTCCCAGACGGACAAGCAACCTTCAGAGCAAGCACACTGCCAGCACTGGGTATTGATTAAACAAACCCACGTAGGTCCTCTATTGTCTAATTTGAATGTGTTACATGATTGTGATGCAGCTCACCATATGCAAAGACTCCAAGAACTCTGCCATAATCTTGAGCATTCAGGACTTTATAAGATCCAGTAGCTAAATGGTACAACTTAATTCCACCTTGCAAGAATCACTTAAGTTTTCCTTTTTTGCTTGTTGTCCTAGCTAAGCTCCTCTCTGCCTTGCAAAACACACCTCTTATAACATTGGTCCCAGCAGGCTCATATAGTAATTCTATGTGTCGAACCCATGCATAGTGCTGTATATGTATATGTCCACTTAATCCTTGTTGGGTGCAGATAGCAAAGTGGCAGTGCCAATAGGTACTGTCATGGCAAGTAAGCCCAGTTTCACTCATAACTACTTAACTTCTTTACTAAGTGTCATGCCTGATTTGTCTCTCCTAACTACTTACTCTAATCTAAAAATGTGCAACGATACCAATGCCATAGGGATGTCTTGCTATGTATATCGATCAGTTTGCTCCTGCTGTTGTGGCATAGCAAATATGTCTGTTAATCACATGCACAAATAAAATAAAGAATTTAAAAAAAAAATTTCAAAAAATAAATATAAAGTGTATTAAAAGATGATTGGCACAATAAAAGGTGACCAAAAAATCTTTACTGAATAAAATATACAGTATAAAATATCCACAAACGCGTTTCGCCTGCAAGGCTTCTTCAATATGGAATAGAGAGAGCACTTCATAGACTATTTTCGATCTAAGGAAGATCTGTTCAGCTAAGACAAATTATACTATATCATGCACGAATTATACTATACCATGAACGAATTATACTATACCATGCACAAATTATACTATACCATGCACACAATCAGAGTGTTAGTGATTATAGTACACTGTGCACACAATCAGTGTGTTAGTGATTATACTATACCATCCACACAGAGTGTTAGTGATTATACTACACTGTGCACACAATCAGTGTGTTAGTGATTATACTATACCATCCACACAATCAGTGTGTTAGTGATTATACTATACCATCCACACAATAAGTGTGTTAGTGATTATACTATACCGTGCACACAATCAGTGTGTTAGTGATTATACTATACCATACACACAATCAGTGTGTTAGTGATTATACTATACCATGCACACAATCAGAGTGTTAGTGATTATACTATACCATGCACACAATCAGTGTGTTAGTGATTATACTATACCGTGCACACAATCAGTGTGTTAGTGATTATACTATACCGTGCACAAATTATACTATACCATACACACAATCAGTGTGTTAGTGATTATACTATACCATGCACACAATCAGAGTGTTAGTGATTATACTATACCATGCACACAATCAGTGTGTTAGTGATTATACTATACCGTGCACACAATCATTGTGTTAGTGATTATACTATACCGTGCACACAATCAGTGTGTTAGTGATTATACTATACCGTGCACACAATCAGAGTGTTAGTGATTATACTATACTGTGCACACAATCAGTGTGTTAGTGATTATACTATACCGTGCACACAATCAGTGTGTTAGTGATTATACTATACCGTGCACACAATCAGTGTGTTAGTGATTATACTATACCGTGCACACAATCAGAGTGTTAGTGATTATACTATACCGTGCACACAATCAGAGTGTTAGTGATTATACTACACTGTGCACACAATCAGTGTGTTAGTGATTATACTATACCGTGCACACAATCAGTGTGTTAGTGATTATACTATACCGTGCACACAATCAGTGTGTTAGTGATTATACTATACCGTGCACACAATCAGTGTGTTAGTGATTATACTATACCGTGCACACAATCAGTGTGTTAGTGATTATACTATACCATGCACACAATCAGAGTGTTAGTGATTATACTATACCGTGCACACAATCAGTGTGTTAGTGATTATACTATACCATGCACACAATCAGTGTGTTAGTGAATATACTATACCGTGCACACAATCAGTGTGTTAGTGATTATACTATACCATGCACACAATCAGTGTGTTAGTGATTATACTATACCGTGCACACAATCAGTGTGTTAGTGATTATACTATACCATGCACACTATCAGAGTGTTAGTGATTATACTATACCGTGCACACAATCAGAGTGTTAGTGATTATACTATACCGTGCACACAATCAGTGTGTTAGTGATTATACTATACCGTGCACACAATCAGTGTGTTAGTGATTATACTATGCCATGCACACAATCAGTGTGTTAGTGAATATACTATACCGTGCACACAATCAGTGTGTTAGTGATTATACTATACCGTGCACACAATCAGTGTGTTAGTGATTATACTATACCGTGCACACAATCAGTGTGTTAGTGATTATACTATGCCATGCACACAATCAGTGTGTTAGTGAATATACTATACCGTGCACACAATCAGTGTGTTAGTGATTATACTATACCATGCACACAATCAGTGTGTTAGTGATTATACAGAGACTGGAGATATATGATCAACAAATGGGGATTATTCACTAAATTGTAATCTACATCTTTGGTAAAAAAAAAAAAATCACTTTGAAAAATAATTGCAATTTGGCTATTTTGGCTTCAAATTGTAATTCCCTTTTATACACAATTGCCTGTTTGGTGAATAAAACCTCAAAAATAAAAATACGAGGTGAAATTTCAGATTTTAGGCCAAATTACCCGAGGTAAAAGCAGAGCTGACTTGGAGCATTTTTGCCGTTTGTTATTTGGCCTGAAATTGAAATCCACTTTGAATTTCTCCCAATTTGCAGATTACCGGTAGGTAAGATTAGCTCTCTGTATGTTCTCCATCCGATCCTAATAAAAACGTCTCCTACCCAGAAATTGCTGTGACAGTTTGTCGTCATAGCTTTCTCCAGAACGTCATCATCACATCTCAGGAAAGATCCCCCTGTCACCACCCTGGCGTTGTTAATCAAGATCGTCACGTCGCCCACCTCTTGTTTAACTCTTTCAGCCACTTGGTAGACTTGCTGTCTCTTGCTAACGTCGCAAATATACGCATGCACACGCACCCCCAATTTTCTCGCTGCTTGGGCGGTATTTTCATTTCCTTCTGCATCAACGTCCCATAATACAAGAGTCGCTCCTTTTTTCGCAAACTCAAGTGCAAAATGTTTCCCTTGCCGACCAGCTGCGCCGGTAATCAGACAAATCTCGTTTTGCACATTTTTTTCAGCCGGTTTCACGATCAGTCTCAGTACCGATGGTACGATGCACCCCCAAACCTCCCAAAGCAAGGACAATATATCTCTTACAATGATCATGGCTGCAGAAATTTTCAATACAATGGTGTACTTCAAGCAGTCTATATACTCGGGATCACCGGATTAAGTGATTACATGGTGCAAAACAGTGCTAAATGGGAACTTCACATAATACAATAGCACCATTGATTGGCAGTGAGGGTATTAGTCCAATTTGTATTAATGCTTCTTTTTAGATTAAGGTTGTACAGAAGGAACATATTTATAATTACTGTGCAGTCTGATCACACAGGGCTCTGGAAATGAATAAGGTTTTTATGGACTATGAAGAACATTGGAACGAGAGACTAGCAAAGAAAGAATGGGTAAGAGTGAAGATTGAGGGGAGACAAAGGTTCGGAGAAGACTGTGGATAGTGGGACTGTGAGCAGGCCTACCAGCCATCCTGACTTCAGGGGGACAGTCCTGGTTTTCGGATCCTGTCTTGCCATGCTGATAGTGTCCACCGCTCACGCCCTCAGTGAGTGGCCTACCTGATTGGCAGGCAGTCTGGAGTGCATTCACACTAGAATGGCCAGTTAATTCCACAGGTGGACCCATACACCTTTTGCCTCCTTTCATCTTTCGGTTGAGTCAATGACACAAATCTGGCCTGCCCATCCCAACAGAGAGGTATGCTCAACAAAGAAGGGAGACTGGTAGTGGGAGAACCATACTGCAAGAGTTAGGCTGATTGGCAAATAACTCACCACCTTTTATGTTTTTATTATTAATAAATCACCAACATTTTCCACAGCACTGTACAATAGGTTCACGATACATAGTAATTTGGCTCGCAAGTTTGACTTACAGGAACGAGATGTAGCGAGAGTCCAGCTCGAACAAGCTAACAATGTAAAGGAGATGGGATATAATTACACAACAGGCAATGTTAGAGAGTGCATTCTGCTCAATACAAAAAGGGATTACTTAGGTATTGACCGCATGGTCTGTAAACTGTACTGCAATGGGGAGAATGAAGTGATTTCCCACGGTCGCAGTTTTCCTATGATTCTCACTGAGCTGGAGCTGCGAGTATGCGCACACGGTCGCAGTTTTCCTGCGCCTCTCACTGAGCTGGAGCTGCGAGTATGCGCACACGGTCACAGTTTTCCTATGCCTCTCACTGAGCTGGAGCTGCGAGTATGCGCACACGGTCGCAGTTTTCCTGCGCCTCTCACTGAGCTGGAGCTGCGAGTATGCGCACATGGTCGCAGTTTTCATATGATTCTCACTGAGCTGGAGCTGCGAGTATGCGCACATGGTCGCAGTTTTCCTATGATTCTCACTGAGCTGGAGCTGCGAGTATGCGCACACGGTCGCAGTTTTCCTATGATTCTCACTGAGCTGGAGCTGCGAGTATGCGCACACGGTCTCGGTTTTACTCCGATTCTCAATGAACTGGAGCTGCGAGTATGCGCACACGGTCACAGTTTTCCTATAATTCGCAATGAGCTGGAGCTGTGAGTATGCGCGCACGGTCGCAGTTTTCCTATGCCTCTCACTGAGCTGGAGCTGCGAGTATGCGCACACGGTCACGGTTTTCCTACGATTCTCAATGAGCTGAAGCTGCGAGTATGTGCACACGGTCACGGTTTTCCTACAATTCTCAATGAGCTGGAGCTGTGAGTATGCGCACACGGTCGCAGTTTTCCTATGCCTCTAACTGAGCTGGAGCTGCGAGTATGCACACACGGTTGCGGTTTTCCTTAAATTCTCAGTGAGCTGGAGCTGTGAGTATCCACACACGGTCACAGTTTTCCTATGCCTCTCACTGAGCTGGAGCTGCGAGTATGCGCACACGGTCACAGTTTTCCTACGATTCTCAATGAGCTGAAGCTGCGAGTATGTGCACACGGTCACGGTTTTCCTACAATTCTCAATGAGCTGGAGCTGTGAGTATGCGCACACGGTCACAGTTTTCCTACGCCTCTCACTGAGCTGGAGCTGCGAGTATGCGCACACGGTCACGGTTTTCCTACGATTCTCAATGAGCTGGAGCTGCGAGTATGCGCACACGGTCGCGGTTTTCCTACAATTCTCACTGAGCTGGAGCTGCGAGTATGCGAACACGGTCGCAGTTTTCCTACGATTCTCAATGAGCTGGAGCTGCGAGTATGCGCGCACGGTCGCAGTTTTCCTACACCTCTCACTGAGCTGGAGCTGCGAGTATGCGCACACAGTTGCAGTTTTCCTACGCCTCTCATTGAGCTGGAGCTGCGAGTATGCGCACACGGTCGCGGTTTTCCTACAATTCTCAATGACCTGGAGCTGCGAGTATGCGCACACAATTGCAGTTTTCCTACGATTCTCAATGAGCTGGAGCTGCGAGTATGCACACACGGTCACGGTTTTCCTACAATTCTCAATGAGCTGGAGCTGTGAGTATGCGCACACGGTCGCGGTTTTCCTACAATTCTCACTGAGCTGGAGCTGCGAGTATGCGCACACGGTCGCGGTTTTCCTACAATTCTCAATGAGCTGGAGCTGTGAGTATGTGCACACGGTCACAGTTTTCCTACGATTCTCAATGAACTGGAGCTGCGAGTATGTGCACACGGTCACGGTTTTCCTACAATTCTCAATGAGCTGGAGCTGCGAGTATGCGCACATGATTGCAGTTTTCCTACGATTCTCAATGAGCTGGAGCTGTGAGTATGCGCACACGGTCGCGGTTTTCCTACAATTCTCAATGAGCTGGAGCTGTGAGTATGCACACACGGTCACGGTTTTCCTACAATTCTCAATGAGCTGGAGCTGTGAGTATGCGCACACGGTCGCAGTTTTCCTATGCCTCTAACTGAGCTGGAGCTGCGAGTATGCACACACGGTTGCGGTTTTCCTTAAATTCTCAGTGAGCTGGAGCTGTGAGTATGCACACACGGTCACAGTTTTCCTATGCCTCTCACTGAGCTGGAGCTGCGAGTATGCGCACACGGTCGCAGTTTTCCTACGATTCTCAATGAGCTGAAGCTGCGAGTATGTGCACACGGTCACGGTTTTCCTACAATTCTCAATGAGCTGGAGCTGTGAGTATGCGCACACGGTCACAGTTTTCCTATGCCTCTCACTGAGCTGGAGCTGCGAGTATGCGCACACGGTCACGGTTTTCCTACGATTCTCAATGAGCTGGAGCTGCGAGTATGCGCACACGGTCGCGGTTTTCCTACAATTCTCAATGAGCTGGAGCTGCGAGTATGCACACACGGTTGCGGTTTTCCTTAAATTCTCAGTGAGCTGGAGCTGTGAGTATCCACACACGGTCACAGTTTTCCTATGCCTCTCACTGAGCTGGAGCTGTGAGTATGCGCACACGGTCACGGTTTTCCTACAATTCTCACTGAGCTGGAGCTGCGAGTATGCGAACACGGTCGCAGTTTTCCTACGATTCTCAATGAGCTGGAGCTGCGAGTATGCGCGCACGGTCGCAGTTTTCCTACACCTCTCACTGAGCTGGAGCTGCGAGTATGCGCACACAGTTGCAGTTTTCCTACGCCTCTCATTGAGCTGGAGCTGCGAGTATGCGCACACGGTCGCGGTTTTCCTACAATTCTCAATGACCTGGAGCTGCGAGTATGCGCACACAATTGCAGTTTTCCTACGATTCTCAATGAGCTGGAGCTGCGAGTATGCACACACGGTCACGGTTTTCCTACAATTCTCAATGAGCTGGAGCTGTGAGTATGCGCACACGGTCGCGGTTTTCCTACAATTCTCACTGAGCTGGAGCTGCGAGTATGCGCACACGGTCGCGGTTTTCCTACAATTCTCAATGAGCTGGAGCTGTGAGTATGTGCACACGGTCACAGTTTTCCTACGATTCTCAATGAACTGGAGCTGCGAGTATGTGCACACGGTCACGGTTTTCCTACAATTCTCAATGAGCTGGAGCTGCGAGTATGCGCACATGATTGCAGTTTTCCTACGATTCTCAATGAGCTGGAGCTGTGAGTATGCGCACACGGTCGCGGTTTTCCTACAATTCTCAATGAGCTGGAGCTGTGAGTATGCACACACGGTCACGGTTTTCCTACAATTCTCAATGAGCTGGAGCTGTGAGTATGCACACACGGTCACGGTTTTCCTACAATTCTCAATGAGCTGGAGCTGCGAGTATGCGCACACGGTCGCGGTTTTCCTACAATTCTCAATGAGCTGGAGCTGCGAGTATGCGCACATGGTCGCAGTTTTCCTACAATTCTCAATGAGCTGGAGCTGTGAGTATGCGCACACGGTCGCAGTTTTCCCACGATTCTCAATGAGCTGGAGCTGTGAGTATGCGCACACGGTCGCAGTTTTCCTACGATTCTCAATGAGCTGGAGCTGCGAGTATGCGCACACGGTCTCGGTTTTCCTACGATTCTCAATGAGCTGGAGCTGCGAGTATGCGCACACGTCGCGGTTTTCCTACGATTCTCAATGAGCTGGAGCTGTGAGTATGCGCACACGGTCGCAGTTTTCCTACGATTCTCAATGAGCTGGAGCTGTGAGTATGCGCACACGGTCGCAGTTTTCCTACGATTCTCAATGAGCTGGAGCTGCGAGTATGCGCACACGGTCGCAGTTTTCCTACGATTCTCAATGAGCTGGAGCTGCGAGTATGCGCACACGGTCGCAGTTTTTCTACGATTCTCAATGAGCTGGGAAAGGCAGGCTAGCTTAGCAGTCCTGACAATTCCAATAACTGAAGTAGAAGGAAACCTCCGGCTGTTCCTGCCCCTAATTGTAAAAGCATTGATTTCTCTTGCGCGGTGGGCAGTGCAGTGATATAAATCCTGCCAGTCACCCCCCAATATCGCTGTCCGTCCCGCTGAGGGCAGACCCTACAGGGAGCACGGCCCCGTTACCGTAGCACAGACATGTCTAATGATGCGCTCGCGCTAAGCTTTTTGCGGACAGTTCCGTGGTGACCCCAATTCACAGCTCAGCAAATAATGCCATAAATAGGAGTCTATCACGCGGACTAGGAGGGTTTGACCTCAGCCACGCTCACAGCCCACAGTTTGCTATTAATTGTTAAACTGCAAACATTGGAGATTTTACAAGGATCACATTGTAACCAAAACTAGGAGATCTGGAGTCATTATCCATCACTAGGATTCTGTGAGGATTTCAGTATTATCTGCTTCTAGTAATAATATTTTTATTTTGTGTAATCTGTAATGATAGAATTTAGTTTAATTTCACATTGCTGTTTTGTCCAGCACTGAAGAGGTTAAAACACTCCAGCCTTGCCTCTGGAGGTGATTGAGCATGCGCAGTGCCCATTAATGGTCCAAGCCCACTGCGCATGTGCATAGTGCGGCAGCGCGCTACGCCGTCATGCTGGAACGCACCGTGATCCACGCTGTGATTGGCTGGCCAGATGCAGGTAGCGCAGTGCGCGTGCGCCGTTTCACGCTGTGTATAAAAGGCGCTGACCTGCAGGCTCTCCCTCTCTCCGCTGCCTGCTCGCCTGATGGTAAGTGTGGATCTCAATCCGGCTCCATCCGGTCTCACCGTGTGTTTATATTCAAAGAGTTTATCGGGATATTATAGTCAATATGTCATTAACCCTTTCATAGCTTGCTTTATACTGCTATCATTATTCAGGCTGGCATATTAGTGCTCAGCTCCCACTGTGACTGGCCCTTTTAATGGGGGGGGGGATCTGGAATACTGGCCCTTTTTAATGGGGGATCTGGAATACTGGCCCCTTGGTCAGGGGAGGATCTAAATACTCGCCCCTTAATGGGATCTGGAACACGCCCTTTAATGGGGGGATGGGAATACTGGCCCTTAGTGGGGACTGAATACTGGCCCCTTTTACAATGGGATCTGGAATACTGGGTCCTTTTAATGGGGGATCTGGAATACTGGCCCTTTAATGGGATCTGGAATACTGGGTCTCACCAAATGAACACTGGCCCCCTAATGGGATCTGGAATACTGGCCCTTCTAATGGGGATCTGGAATACTGCCCTTCAGAATCAAACACATCCTTCTAATGGGGGGGATCTGAATACTGGGCCCCTCTCTAATGGGGAATACTGGGTCCTCTGCATGGGGGGGATCCTAAACACGGGCCCCCAAATGTGATCTACTGCCTTTTAATGGGGATCTACTACCACCCTTTTAATGGGGGTCTGGGAATACTGGCCCTCCAATGGGGATCTGGAATATCGCACCCTTGTGGATCTGGAATACTGGCCCTTTAATGGGGATCTGTAATATCAGCCCCTGAAGGGAGATCTGGTCACGGGGTCTCGGGGAGATCTGGAATACTACCCTACCTACAGCATCCACCACCGTACCTCAATGGGAGATCTAACAATACTGGCCCCTGGGATCTGGAATACTGGCCCTTAATGGGGATCTAAACAACCTCAATAAAGGGATCTGGAATACCGTCTTAATGGGATCTAAATGGCCCCTTTAATGGGACCAAATACTGGCCCCTTTAATGGGGGGATCTGAATACCACGGCCCTTTGGGGATCTGAATACCATCTTTAATGGGGGGGATCTGGAATACTGGCCCTTTTAATGGGGGGGGGGGATCTGGAATACTGGCCCTTTAACCCTTTAAGGACACGTGACATGTCATGATTCCCTTTTATTCCAGAAGTTTGGTCCTTAGGGGGTTAATGTGGGGATCCTGTGTTTAAAGATTTACAATTCTTGTCAATTGATATGCTGTGCATTTAAGGGACAGCACTGCAGTTTTGCTGATGTGTGTGATGACTGACCTTTTTTCCCCATCAGATCGACCATGTTGATTTGTGATGCTTTTAAAGCCAGTTTTGTCTGACCCATCAGCAGCTCTACTTCATCTTATTCTCTGATCGTTTGTTTTGGTTTTTATTAAAATGAAGTTCTTTCTCTCTAGGATAAACTGAAGAATTGTGTGAATAATTTTAACTACTCGGACAATAGATGAGATGGTTAGTAGATACTTTTATTAAATAGAACGCGTTAAGAATGCAGGAAAATGCGCTTAAATTCTGTTAACTTTCTGCAAATGGCTAGATTGGCTATTTAGTGGCATTTGTAGAAAGCTGGCTTGTATTTAAATTAAATTCCACAGTTTGAGTCAGACATGTGCTGCCTTGTGTTTTGTAGTAATACTGCCCGAAGGAAATCCATTATCGGTCATGGTTTTTATTAAATTCAAGTTACAAACCCTGTTAAGGAATCTCCAAGCGGCCAGTATTAAGACAATAACTGTAGGCAGACAGTCTGAGCCAGAGCTGGTTGGAGCATATTGCTGACTGTGTGATGACCACACTTTTTTCCCCATCAGATCGATAATGTTGATTTGTGATGCTTTTAAGCCAGTTTTGTCTGATCGTCAGCATGAATCACTTTGTATCTTGCACACAGAATGGATGCAGTTTATAAGTCGTGTTTTTTGTTTTGGTTTTTTTTTAGGTAACTTGTAGCGATGGAAAAAGCCGTTGACTGATATAAAAATCCCGATGTGACCTATTGAACAGAATTCTCCCTGTAGAGGTGAGTTGAAGGTTAAATGATTAATATACTGGGTATTCTGGGAGAAATAAGCTTGCTGTTCTAGGGAACCTACAAGCGATCTCCAAACTGTAGGCACAGGACTGATTAATAGGGGTAATGCTGACTGTATGATGACTAAACTTTTTTCCCCATCAGATCGATAATGTTGATTTGTGATGCTTTTTAAGCCAGTTTTGTCTGATCGTCAGCAAACATGCTAATACTGGCACCTGCAGGAAGACTTGGTTTGTGCTAACATGTGTTTTTATTACAGGGTCCCATGGAGAAAGTAGATTGTGCTACGCCTATCATTCGAAAGGAAATGTGAACCTGTAGGATCCAGAGACTTGCAACTAAGTGAGTGTAAATTCTGGATAATGTTTTTATTATCTATGTAGGGCTGGAAGATCTTTATAGATTGTATTGGAAAATAATTTGTCATTGTTACCATGAAGCTGCATGGTCAAACAGTGACTAACCTGGCAGCTCCTAACCAATGAATTGCTTCCAGACCTGCTAAAATGTGGTACATGGAAATGTTAAACAGATCCTGAACAGTTTATCAGATTGCCACTGGGCACGATCTGTGGGTCACTATCATAGTTTGCAGTGCCATGTTTACCTAGTTAACAATACTGAGACATAATGAGAATAAGTCCAAATTCTCACTGGATGCTGCTTAATGCTAATGTAAATATTACTATCGTCCAATCTGATCTCATTCTGCTGTGTATGATGACTGAAACTTTTTTCCCCAGCAGATCGACTGTGGTGACTTAAACTTGAATTAAGCCAAACCGTCTGATACGCAGATGAGATGTCCTTAGTCTTTTGGTTTACACTTGATATCTAGATTACTATTTTTTTTTTTTTTGAGACCATAACACTTTCATTTACTTTCTCTTAGGATCCCAATGAAGCAATGGCCTGTATTACAAGATTTGACAACATTGCAAGATCACAGGATGCTGTCTCAGACGTCTGCCCAGCTGGAGCTCTCTTCATGTAAAGAATGAAGTCTTGAGCACATGAACATGTTGCTACACTCTTTGCAGAATGATGGGCAGTCTTGGGAAGAAACGCTGTATCAGGAGTTGTGAAATGTCTTTGTGGCAGTACAGTCACACAAGCCTAATAACTCCACATTTAATGCAAACTTGTAATGTTTGGAGAATTTATCTGCATTAATTTCCTGCATTGTGACTTAATAAAAGTCTATTTAGCAATTGATCTCATGAATTACTTTTTTTGGTCAGTATTGTGATTCTAAGTATTAAATGACTATTGCTGTTAATAGTCATAACATGTTTCCATGCTGTACACTGAGGAAGCCTTTTACTGCTAGACACGACATCACTAAGGGGAATATAAAGATGTTAAATGACCCAATGTTTTTATTGTCCACCTAAAAATGGCTAACATTGGTAAAGAGCACATGTCTTCTAAAAATGACCCATGTTGATTACTGGGTCTCGTAGTGAGGTTCAATAAGATGAACTTATTAAAGTGGTCTGGGTGCAGTGATCCTGTCTCTGTAACTGAGGTGTGTATGCTGCCATATTCTGCTTGTGGTGGTTTTACTGTAATTGCTTTGTATCGTTGTATTTGTGCGTATATGAGCTGTAGTGATGTCCTGAACGGTTTGCCACGGACTCCAGTCAGCAGACACATTCCAGCCAATCAGCAGCAGACCCTCCCACCTCCTGGACAGCTCACTAAGAATGCAGCTTCACAATGGATGCTGTCCAGGAGGTGGGAGGGTCTGCTGCTGATTGGCTGGAATGTGTCTGCTGACCGGAGTCCGTGGCGAACAGTTCAGGACATCACTAATGAGCTATTATATTGTATATGTTCATTAGTAGTTTATGGTATTGTGATACATATGAATGTGGGCTGCTTGTGGAATTGTGTGTGTGTGTGTGTGTCACATTGTGTTTGGTAGTGTGTGGGGGGGCTGTTTGGGGTATTGCATGTGAGAGGCTGCGTGTGTAGTTGTGTGCATGTTTGTGGGGATTGTGTGTGGGCTGTTCATATTTATGAGGGGAGTGTTATTCTGTAGGTCTGTGTATATCTAGCAATGTGGGTGGGTTCCAGTGGGGACCAGGTACAGGTCAAGGACAGGAGCTGCAACAGCCGCTGCAGTCTGCTCTACTACAGTGTGGATTCCCATTCACAAGTGCTGGGAGGAACTGATCTGAGATCACTTCCTCTACGTGCTGCAATGCATAAATTGAGGATTGTCCTTCACCACCTCTTTGTATTAGGAGATATCTGAAGTTTCACTGAGACGCCTGATAGGCCAGAGCCTGTTTGGCTCTAGCAGCATTGAGTGCCGTGGAAAGACACCTCGAGTGCTGTGCATGGCACTAGTGCCGTAGGTTGCCTATTCCTGACCTACACCATGGGGGTGCTATAGTGTTGACACTAGTTTCCCTTTTGAGATGAGTTTGCATGACTGACTGGTCTTAATTATGTTAGACCCAAGGATAGTGGCTAAAATTATGCAGCAATAAAATGTTTTAACTCAGTGATGCCAGCTTATAGCTGGCTGGGATCTTAAAGGGATCCAGGCACCCAGACCACTTCTGTACTTTGAAGTGGTCTGGGTGCCAACTCCCACTACCCTTAACCCTCAAGTGTAATTATTGCAGTTTTCATACACTGCAGGGTTTTAAGTCCTCTAGTGGCTGTCTACTAGACTGCCACTAGAGGAGACTTCCGTGTTCATAGAACAAAGTGTTTTAAACGACCTAGGACATCCTCACGCTAAGTGAGAATCTCCAGCGCCTCTGAAATCCCAATAGGTGCAGCCATTGCAGAGCATAGGCGGAGCCTGACCAGCGCTGTGGGACATTGGCGCTGGACTCTGGTAAGCCAGTGATGGGGGTTTTAACCCCTTCAGCAACTTGGGATGGTGGGTGGGAGGGACACTAGAGGGTCCGGCAGTGCCAGTTTTGTTTTCCTGGCACTGGAGAATCCCTTTAACAGAATAAACTGGTCACCTGACAGTCCAGATTTATTTGTGGAACATTCCAGAACTTCCAAATAACCAAGAGACCGTCAGTTGTCATATCACACATTACTTGTTGGAGATGTGCAGCAGTCAGGAATGCTGTCTGATCACTGGCCTAAACTAGTGTTTTAAAGATATCGACGTATTTCCAGCTGCTTTTAAGTCAATGGACACTATTCTAACAGTTTAGTGTCTGGAGTCCTCTTACTCCCTCCAGTGTTAAACTGTAAGTGTCCCTGGCCCTTACTGGAGTGACTAAGGCAGATCACACTTTGTTATACCAGCAATAGGCACTATGATGGCCTTAAAGCATTCAGCTGAAGCTGGTAAGAAGTCTATCGCTGCTGAGGTTAATGCTTCCTCATTAGATCATTCGGCACAGAGGATGGTTTGCTGGGGAATCATTTACTGTTGGAACGCGGAATGAAAGGACTGTGCCAGGAGACTCCAGATACTATAACCAACTCAATGAGATGAAGCAGGTTCAGGACTTAGTGTCCCTTTAAACTGCATGTAATTAGTGGCTTAGCTGCCATAAGGAATATGTACAGAGAATTGAAATCTTCTAATTGGTGTATCTGTGAAACTGAAATCCACCCCCTTTACTAACCAGGACTGGACTGTCCTATTTCTCCTTTCTATGTGTAGTAGTGGAACAGCTCATGGCCCCAATCTATCCCCTGTGGATTAAAGGACCACTATAGTGCCAGGAATACAAACTAGTTTTCCTGGCACTATAGGGTCTTTGGGTCTCTCCTGCTGAGCTGAAGGGGGAGGAAGGGGTTAAATTCTTACCTTTCTCCAGCGCTGGGGTCTCTCCTCCCTCTTCCGACATCATTCGCTGAATGCGTATGCGCGGCAAGAGCCGCCTGCGCCTTCAGTCAGTCCTTAGGAAAGCATTTCTCAATGCTTTCCTATGGACGGCAGCGTCTTCTCACTGAATCACAGTGGGAAGCGCCTCTAGCGGCTGTCAATGAGACAGCCACTAGAGGCTGGATTAACCCATATGTAAACATAGCAGTTTCTATGAAGGGTTAACCCTAGATGGACCTGGCACCCAGACCAATTCATTGAGCTGAAGTGGTCTGGGTGCCTATAGTGGTCCTTTAAGGTTAAAAACTGGTTTATTTACTAAAGTGTGATTTTTAATTCCCCCCACATTTCAACACAATATGAAAACTGAAAACCGTTTTAATTTCAAATGTAAGGCTAACATAACCAAACTGGGAGAACTTGGCTATACCTGGGTTCGGATACTTTGGCCTTAAACAACATTATAGTGTTGGGAATATAGATACATGTATTCCTAACACGATCGTACTGGAAGCCCAGTTTTAAGTCCACAGTCCCTCTCAGAATGGAGTAAAAAGGTTTTAAAGGGACACTATAATTCTTCTGTCCATAACATAGTCACCAGAACAACTACAGCTTATTGAATTTGTTCTGGTGAGTAGAATCATTACCGTCAGGCTTTTTGCTGTAAACACTGTCTTTTCAGAGAAAATGCAGTCTTTACATTACAGCCTAGTGATAACTTCACTGGCCACTCCTCAGATGGCTGTTAGCGATCCTTCCTGGGTCATGGCTGCCTAAAATGCATCCAAACATTCAGTGTCTCCTCCCTCTGCATGCAGACACTGAACTTTCCTCATAGAGATTCATTGATTCAATTCACCTCTATGAGGAGATGCTGGTTGGCCAGGGCTGTGTTTGAATTGTGCTGGCTCTGCCCCTGCCCCTGATCTGCCTCTTTGTCAGTCTCAGCCAATCCTATGGGGAAGCATTGTGATTGGATCAGGCTACCACTCCTTGTTTTTTTTTTTTTTTTTTTAGACAAACAGCATGCAGATCTACAGCTTCAGGCTTGAATACAGTAAGATTTTTACTATATTTATGGAGGCATGAGGGGCCCAGGGGGGCTAGATGGTGGTATTAACAATATAGTCTCAGGAATACATGTTTGTGTTCCTGACCCTATAGTGCTCCTTTAAACCATCTTTTTTTGCCATTGCTGCAACTGTCCCCGTCTCCATGGCTGTAATCATCAATATTAATAATCTCAGCCAATCCAATGCTTCCCCATCCTCATACATATGTATTGAATCTCTATGTGGAACATTTAGCTTCTCCATACAGAGAGAGTGGAGATGCTGAACATAGGTGCTTCGCATTGTGCAACACTGACCCAGGAAGCACCTCTAGTGGGCATCTGAGTGACTGTCACTAGAGATGTTACTAGCCAGTAATATGTTCTCTGAAAAGGCAGTGTTGATAGTGCTAAGACTGCAGGGACAGGATATACACACCAGAACCACTACATGTAGTGCTTCTGGTCACTATCATGTCCCTTTAAATTTGTCCCTTTTAACAGATATTGCGTTGCAATCCGCTGTGAATTGATTATACTGGGAGGGGGTCAGGACCTACCGCTACTTCAGGGGGTGGGTGAACGGTTAGTCTCCCAGCTGGTGTAGATCTGAAAGTCGCTTGATTATTTGCCAGTTTCTTGTGAAATCCTTTTTTTATCATTTAGCACTGGATTTGTTAGGTAAGGACATTTCTGATTGGACACTTTGTTAGATGTTCATTTCAAGTATTTAAAATTTTCTTGCAATAATTGTAACAATTGTCCGGGTGCCTTTAATAACTAATTACCAGCGTTATAAATGTTGTGCTAATCTGTTAATTTGATTTACTAAATCAGAAGTTTCCCTAAAAGTATCTTCCAACTTGTATTTGAGCTACAAATTCTGTGACTCTTTCTTTATCATTGGCAAACGTTGTGGCTCGTCCTACTAATGGGTCCAGTGCAGTATTCATTAAGGTCTAAATCTGGCAATTAACCCCATACCTGTCAACATATTAAATGGACAAAGAGAGACACTTTCATTTGGGGTGGGTATAGCTAGGGAAGGGCTGTTCTGAGAAATATTAGATTTACTAATACCAATTTATAACAAGAACAATGTATCTTATTTACACAGACTATTTTCCAAACACATT